GGAGGACAGTGAGACTGCTGGCGTCCCAACCAGAGGGCCACCCAGTGGACATCCGGCCCTGGTAGGTGTGAGTCCCTTTGGGGTTGGCTCCTTGCTGTGATGAGGGAGCGAGGTGAGTGAACTTGGGCAAGTCCCCTGGCCTTTCAGAGCCTGTTTCCCATCTGGAAAGTGGGGTGACTAATAACACAGAACCTGTAGGGGTGGACTCCAAGAGGGAAGGCGATCACTCATACCTCTTTGTCTTTGCATCTGCTCTTCCTCCTGCCTGGTATGCCTTTCTCCTTTTATCTGCTTGGCAACTCTTATTTCGTCTTCAAGACTGTTCAAAAGGGTCATCTCCTCCTGCCCCAGGCAAAATTGGTTGGTCCCCTTTCTGTCCTTCCCATACATTCTTCTATTATACACTCACCCATCCATCCATCCATCTTCCTATCTATCCATCCATCATTCATCCATCCATCCAACCACCCATCCATCATCCACCCATCCATCATCTATCCATCCATCGTCCATCTATCCATCCATCCATCCCCCCATCCATCATCCATCCATTATCCATCCACCCATCCATCCATCCACCCATCCATCCATCCACCCATCCTTCATCTAACCATCCATCCACCCATCCACTCATTCATATTTATTGATTACCTATAGTTTGCATCTCTGATCATGTTGTTCTGAAGTTTTGGATAAGCTTGTCTTTCCCAAGACTAGTGATTCTTAATCTTTTGGGGATCAAGGACTCTTCTCCAGAAAAATGCATATATGCACATACATGTCATGTCGCCTCCCTCTTCAAAGATTTCTGGTCATCCCTGAAATCAGGCTGTGGACCCTGGGAGTGGAGGATGCTGTGAAGGGCTGCTCAGAAGCCCCTCTGGGATCGAAAGACTGATTCTCCCAGCCACCGGGATCTTGGCTGGAAGATGGCCCTCAACTGTCAGCCCTCTTTGGAGACTGTTTTAATTGGAAGGCAACTGTCTCACCCGAAGTCACGCCTTTATCCAGGGTAGGCTCGCTTCCAGTGACAGATCAGTGTGGAAGAGCAAAGGCTTTTCCCAGCATGGGGTAAGTCTGAAGGGTTAGTCCCTTTCCAGGGCTCTCTGTCGGGACTGCCTCAAAGCAGGACTTCTCCCCCTGCCTGAACTTATGTCCTTACCCTCCCTTCCACAGGTGTTTTTCCCAAGAGCACTTTTTTTTTTTTAAGATTTTATTTATTTATTTGACAGACAGAGATCACAAGGAGGCAGAGAGGCAGGCAGAGAGAGAGAGGAGGAAGCAGGCTCCCCGCTGAGCAGAGAGCCCAATGTGGGGTTCAATCCCAGGACCCTGGGATCAGGACCTGAGCCGAAGGCTGAAGGCAGACGCTTAACGACTGAGCCACCCAGGCGCCCCTCAAGAGCACTTTCTAAATAAGGTCCTCCACACCGATCTCTGGTTGTGCATCTACCTCCCAGGAAACCCAGTGGATTAAAAAGCCCCATGGAAGTTCACTGAGGACAGCAAGCGTGTCGTCATGACTTCTGTATCTCTAGCAGGTCTTACTGGCCCGGGTGCATGGTGGACACTCTGGAAACAGTTATTCAATGTATCTTTGTGCATTTTCTCTTGGTTCTCTGCCCTGTCCCTCCGTTGTCCCAGCAGGAGAGTTCTCATCAGACACCCAGGATAAAGGGACAGCCCTGCCAGCAGGATGCCGGTGGGACCAGAGCTGTGGGCCTGTTTCTGGGAAATGCACTAGTTGCCAATGAAGCTGTAAATAACCATGGGAACAGAAGTCAAGCTAATTGGTTGTTACAAAGCAGGGGCAAAGGGGCTTGGCTGCTGTCAGGCTGTGTGGTTAGGGGTGAAGTCTCAAGGGGATGGCTGGGAGGCCAAAGGATGGCAGGAATGGGTGGGGCAGCCTTTTCTGGCAGAAGGAATCATTTAGAAGTTAGACTGAGGTCCCCAGAACCTGGAAAATCCCCACTTCAGTTTCCACTGTTGGGAATTCCTTCACAGAACAAATATCTATTAAGTGTCTTCATGGAGCCAGGCATGGCAGGCAGGACGGCTCCTTTGTAGGCCCGGGGCCCCCATGCTTGTGCCTTTCCCTGGCTTTGTCTCCTGGCAAGTGATGGGACACCCTGGCCGCTGGCATGTGCTGAGCGGCCCCTAGCACGTGCCCAGCGCTGTGCTGTTTGACACAGATGATTCGATTTCATCTACACAATAGCTTTGGCTATCATTTTTCCTTCTTTACAAATGAGGAGGCAGGCCCAGAGGGGATCAGCAATGTCCCCAAGGCACATAGCTCGTCACAGAGTGAGAGGAGGAAAGGAGGGCAAACTCCAAGTCTGGTGGGGTCCCGAGGCTGCTCTGTCACAGCGGAGCTTAACCTCCATGAGCTTCGTTGCCACAGCTCTGAAATAGGGATAATTCATCCCTACTGCCATGGTTGTTGGGGACAAGTCACCCCTGTGAAAGGCCTAGAGGGTACCCAGCGGATATCCTGTTCTCCTCCCCAGTTCCCTTGTCCCCTGCCTCCACACTTCCCTGGGCCTGGGAGGAAGGGGTGCCCCACTTGCTGTCTCTCCAAGAACACTCATCCTTAACCCAAGTCCTGCACAGCGCCCGGCATGTGGCCAGTGCTCGCTGAGTGTGGTCGACCCAAATGGGTGAGGAGTCCCCACCCTGTCCTCTGGATTGCAAATTGGGGACCCCCCCTCAGCCCAACATTACTGCAGGATGCAGAGAGCTGTCGCAAGTACTGTGGAAACAATTCTATCCGTACCAAGGGACTCCACTCTCCAGCCACTGGGTTTTCGGGTTTCCGGGTTTCTCTCAACAGCAGGAGCAGAACCAGACCCAGGTGGCCTCCCCAAACCCAGGCAGAGAAGGGTGCCAGGATGAAGATGAAGGCATTTCAGGTCCTGCTCCTGACTGGGGTCTCCCCCCACAGGCGAACCCAGCCTCTTCTCCCACCACGACCCCGACTGCAGACATCCTCTTGTAGTAGGGGCATTAACCTTCCTTCTCCCTGCCCCCGGGGGAGAGACGATGGGCATGTAAGCATTTAAAACTTGAACCCGCAGGTCAGCCCTCCTTCCGCCCTCCTCTGCCAAAGCGCCAGAGCTGGAGGCCGCGTGGGGACAGACGCCACAGCCTTAGAGAGACAAGTCACATCCTCAGCTTCCCTCGACCTGTGCAAGCACTGAGTTGCCATGGCGACGCTGCAGCCCCGAGATGCAATGGCTGCAGACGGCATGGGTGCTTCCAGGGCTCGGGGCCCGGGTGGACGCTGTCTGGCCCAGAAGGCCAGGCGATCGGTTGGGCCGGGTGGGGGAGGAGAGAGAGGCCTCCTCCAGGCTCAGCTGGTAATTGCTGCTAAGTGAGGGTCTGTCATTGAACCCAATACGCGGGCGGTGCGGGCCCCGCTCTGCACCCTGTAATTACTCCACCAGACAGCAGCGCTTACTCCCCGGGTGGGGAGAGGGCGGACGGTGGCGGGAGCAGACAGGAAGCTCTCATCCACCTGAGCCGGCGCGGGGCTGTGGCAGGCTCTCCCGCCCGGGAGCAGCCTCTCCGGCAGAGGTGGGAGGTCCCCGGCCCCTCCTCTCGGCTGGCTGGCCCCACGTCATCCGTCATGCGGTGTGGAGTGTGAGCGGCTCTCGTCCTGGCCTCGGAGCCCGCAGAATCTGGTGGGGGCGGGGGGGGGGGGGGGGGGGGGCCGGCCCAGGTAAGGCCCCACAGCAGGGGAGCTCTCGGAGGGCGACCTCCACTCTCAGAGGGAAGTCTGTCTGCCTTGGGACTGCGGGGGCAGGCGTAGATCTCCTCCCAATTCCTCCTGAGCCCCGAGGCTCTGAGACCTCAGACTAAGTCCCGCCCCCTCCGCGGCCTCGGCTTCCCCGCTGGCTCCCTGCCCGCGGGTCCCCAGCCTTCTCGGGGATTTTCTACAGCAGGGGCTGGTAATCCAGCGCCCCGAGCAGACTCCTGGATTGGGAAGTGAGGTGTCCCTGGGACAGAGCCACACCCTTTTGTGTCTGTCTGCCTTCCTGCTATGAGGGCAGAGGGCGCCAGAAGACGAGAGCAGCCACGGCCCGGATTATCTGGCCCGTTTTACGGAAGTTTGCTAACCTGTTTCTAAAGTGTAACTGTCTTCCTAGGCTTAACGGAGTGTGCTTTTGTGGCTCCGATGTGATTAGAGCAGTCGGTGACAAGCCCCATCCTGGTCCCCGTCCGAAGACACCACTGTCCTCTTCCCAGGACCCCAGCCTGGATTCTGAGCGCGGCGGCCGGCGGGGTGGCGCCCGGGGAACCGCGTGGTGCAAGGGCGCCACCTGCTGTGGGTGCCTCGAAGCACTTCTGCCTGGAAGTGCTGGGCCTTGGGGAGGGGGCGGCGGGGGTGGGGGGGACCCGGCCTTTGAAGCAGAGGCCAGTTTTCAAAACCCTGGCACATCAGAGCAGGATCTCGCCCAGCCCTCTCGTTTTATAAAGGCTGCAGTGCAGAGGGGGTGTGTGACCGGTCCAAGTCAGGTGAACAGAAATTCTGCTCAGATCCCCGAGGCCCCTAAGCCAGTCCATCTTCGTCTCTTCCACCGGCATGTGCTTAGCACAGGACCTGGCTGTGAATCCTAGTTGTCACTCGTGTAGGGTCCTGATTCCATGGTTGTTGAAAGAATTTGCAAAACAAACACTCATATACATTTAATCTATTATCAATATTGACTCTGTCTTCTGAATAACCAAGAAAATTATTCCCATTTCACAGAGAAAAACACTGGGGTACAGAGAAGTTAAGCAACCTGCTGAAGGTCACACAGCTAGTAAGTGACAGGACTCGAATCTAGGCTGTGAAAGCCCGAACAGCCCCAGAATGGTGCTCTGTTCATACTTTTTTCCCTGCCTGCAGTCTGACCAGTCATCTGAAGGCGGCCCCCCGCAGGGAAAGAAGGGGAGAGGAAGGTCCACATCCACCACCCCCCCCAGCCCCCATTCCTCCAGGCAACAGCCAAGTGGCCAGTGGACTGTAAATCCTTTATTTCCAAACTATAAATAGACCTGTACTGAGAAAAGACACGCCCCAGACCCGAGGGGAGATGCCAGGCTGCAGCCTCAGCATCTCCCCTTTCCAACTGCTCCGCAGTCTAAACCCGGCCCCTTAGAAACCCGCTCTGCCCCTGGAAATGACCACCTGGGCTGTCAGCGCCTAGCAAGCCGCGGAGACCAGCCCGCTCCCTTGGCCAGCGGGGCACATCTGGGCCCTGCTGTGGCCCGACGCTCCCCCCTCGGTTGCACCAGTGACCTGCGGGAGCCCCGCCACGTGGTCCCGTGCTCCCCGAGGCCCAGCCTGGGAGAGTCCCAGGCCCCTGCTCCCGGGCTACAGTGAGGTGCGAGGCCTGGGAGCAGCCTGGTTCCCCGCCAGTCCCCTGGCTTGTCACTGCTGCCCCTGGGCCACAAAGTACTCCCCCTCCTCCTCGTTGTCCTCCTCCTCTGGCCGGCTGCTCCGGAGCAGCAGCTCCAGGTCGGGGTGGGAGCCCAGCCCCTTCAAGGGTTTAGGGCCACCGTCACCTGGGGACAGAGAGAAACCAGCTGTAGACCCAACCACAGTTTTCTTGGTGTCCCCCGATGTGCGTGTTGAGTTGCCCAGGTCCCACCTACTCTACCCCACCCCCTGGAGATGACCAGCTTCTGAGCAGGGGGGCGGGGGGAGCCCATGTGGAGATGCCTGCGGCCCTGGGTGAGTGGAGCCACCTGGCTTTCCCGGCTGGGTGGCTGGGGCCCTAGGGCTGGGTCAAGGGGAGATCAGAGGGGCTGAGTCATGAGGGCGGAGCACCAGAAAAGCGGCTTCTGAGTGGGGCTTGGGTTACCTCTGGCGTGGAGGGCTTTGAGAGCCACATGCAGGGAGATGCCCGAGAGGCAGAGTGCGAAGCCCAGCCAGTTCAGGAGGCTGATCTGATCCCCCAGCAGGTGGGCTGCCAGCAGCAGAGTGCAGACTTCCTAAAGGCAGAGGGGCAGGAAGGGGAAGCGATCAGGAGTTGGCTCCTTTGCAAGGAAGGCAGACGGTGGGGGCACCGGGCACAACCGCAGGGCAGAGCCCGGCCTGCCAGGGCTCCTGGGGACGGGGGCGGCCTGGCCAGCAGGGCAAAATGGGGGCTTCCCTGAGCTCAGAGCACCAGGCCTGCCGGCAGTGCTTTCCTCCCTTGGTGCTACTAAGAGGCAACAATGGAGGTGCTCTGCACAGCATTCTGTCAGGGTTAGAAGAGGCAAACCAGACCCAAGGCTGGGAGCAGTGTCCAGCCTGCGGCCATGTGCACAGGAGGGAAGGACAGCTGTGCTTCCAGAAGGCACACAGACATGGAGGGTGCGATGCTGCCACAGGAGAATGCCGCGTCACCCTGGGCTCCACAAGACACACACTGGCCGCAAGGCTCTGCAGACACGGTGGCTGCTGGTAGGACTGGTGACATGACTCATTCTGAGAACCGCAGCTCACGCCTCTTCCTAAGCCCCTTGGGGAGACGTACGGTTCTGGGTTTAGGCAACACTGCTCTGGCGCCAGTGTCTGTTTCATCAAGGAGAAACCGTACCCCGCCCCCATGGGCCGAGCAGGGTGGTGTGAGGGGTGGCAGGGGAGGGGGACGCCTGAGAGCAGAGGCACGTGTGCTGCTGGGCAGCAGTAAAGGCAAAACAGGAAAACAAAACACTGCCCCTTGCTGTGACCATGGCAGACATCACCAATCAATCACAGACCACTTTCCCAATGAGTCTGGATGGGGTTTCTCAACCCACAGCTCCAGGCACTGCCAAACGACCAGAGAGCAGAGTGGGCATTCATGGTAACAAGAGAATGCACCCCAGGCCCAGTGGAGTCAGAATCCCAGCTCAGCCACCTGCGGGTGTGTGTCCTCCATCTGGGAACCACCCTGTAGGACTGTGGCCAGGACGGGAGGGAGTTTCAGACGAGAGCACCCTAAGCAGGCTCTCTGTTTCGTCTCTGCTGGGATCTGGGGGGCAGGAGCTGGGACAGAAGCTGCTACTGAGCCTGGGGTCTGTGCTATAAGACAGGACTGGGGCCACCCCCACGTCTGCACCTTAAAAATGCCAGCAATGGAGAGGGTGAGGCTGGAGGTTCTGGAGACCAGGAGGAACTCAGAGAAGCCCAGACCAAAGGCGAGGATCCCTCCAAGAAAGAGGCTCCCCAGCACCCGCAGGAGCAGCCCGGTGTCCTGGAAACGGAAGATCTTCTCTGATGTGGACAAATGGAGACCTGAAAGCAAAGGGAGAGAGTGGGAGGCCACGTGCTGGTGTCCCCAGGGAGTGGGAGACCCAGCATGGGGCAGTCACTCCCCACCCTGGCCCCACTCGCTGCAGCCCTGAGGAGGGGGATGGCAGGTGGAAGAGAACACTGTGCAGACAGCCTTACACCTGGGGACCCAGGGAAGCAGCGATGGCCCCCCGAGTGTCCCCGTGCTAGGGTGGAAGGCCTGTCCCCTCCCTCGGTGCTGACCTGCCTGTCTTTAGGAAGGAGTGCAACTTCGAGTGGCCTCTGCAACTGTGGTAAATAGGGGACCAAAGAGAGGCGGGGCGGCCCATCAAGTGACAACTATTAGCGCCCTGGGCCCTGAGGCAAACCCTCCCTCTCAATGTCAGGTGGGCCACCTAGCAACAGGACTTCATTTCATCCTCCCAAACCTTCCCCACTTTAATCTGGGTCTTCGCCATCACTCAGCCGTGGGACATGGCTGAGACATGCCCCCTCTCGGGACCGTCCCCTCAGTGATGAAATGAGAGCATTTCAGCCAGACCTGCGTTTCTCAGGCAGTATAACGTGGGGAACGGTTCTCAAGAAGTAAACGCACACACGTAAATACAGGACAAAGCCTTGTTCTTGAGACACGCCCACAGGCCCCCACACACCAAGTTTGGTGTGGCTTCTAGAGGGTTCCTGGCCCTCCAACACTGTGCCTCCTTAGGTCTGTGCACAAAAGGCCCCGAGAGAGGCACACAGCAGGCACCTGTGGGGGCTGGAGGCGGGCTGAGCACTGAGATTTTTGGAGGGAAGCACCTACGAAGTGTGGAGTGACAGTCTCTCCCGGGCAGCAGCCGCCCGATGTAGGGCGCCCTGTCTGGTGCTGGGCTCAGCAGCACTGCAAAGGCGGCGGCAAATTGAAGGAAATTCGGGAAAGAGCAACATAAGTGCTGAAGGCGCTTGGGGGATTAATTTACCAGAAAAGATTAAAGGAGCTAAATCCATGCAGCTTTGCTAAGTGACAACTCCCAGGGCTTTCGGCGTAGGGGGTGCAGGGATGGGGAAAGGTGTCCGTGGCCAGGACGGGAGGGGGCGTGCCGGGTGGCACAGGGGGCAGAAGGCGAGGGTGGGGGAGACGGTAACTGGGAGAAAAAGGAGGCTGCAGAGCAGAAGCTTCCTGGACAACGGAACCAGCTGGAGAGTTCGAGACGCTTCACTGCTTGAAACTAAAATGGATGTGGGGCAGAAATCTCTGTAAGGACCCCGAGGACAGAAGGAAGGGACTGGGGGAAGGATAAACAGGGACAAAGACTAATCTTGAAAGCCAGGAAAGGAAGGAAGGAGGCCGGGACGGTTCCCCCCACCCCCTCTCCTCTTGTCTGGGAAGTGAAGGTGGGCGGGGAGGGTGCCCTACCCAGCCTCCTGCCCCTCGGCCACACACTCCATCCCCCATGCTGCCACCCTCTGAACCTACTGGCCGCACTTCCTGGGAGACCCTGCCTGTCTGCCTCTGCCTGGGAAGTCTTTTTGACTTGGCTTTCCACGCTAGGATCCTGAAAGAATTCCCAGCCCTCTGCTCCTTCTAAGAGACAGAACATGTCATGGTTAAGAGGAAGGACTCAGGAACCAGCAGCTGGAACAGAATTCTGGCTCATTGGGCGTTTATCTTCACTTCTCTCCACCTGTTTCTTTGACCTGCACGATGGACATAATGCTCGTACTGCCACGTGGGGGCTTGGGGGAGCACGTGTAAAATGATCCGAACAGGGGCGCCCAGGTGGCTCAGTGTCTGCCTTCCGCTCAGGTCATCATCTTGGAAACCCGAGATGGAGCCCCGAGTCGGGCTCCCTGCTCAGTGCAGTCTGCTTCTCCCTCTCCCTCTGCTCGTGTTCTCTCTCAAATAAATAATCTTAAAAAAAAAAAAAAAAAAAAAAAAGATCAGAACCACCCTGGCATAGCTGTCTGGCTGTACCACGTCCACTATCATTATCGTCTGTTGTCTTTTATATACGTTTTTTTTAAATAAAGATTTGATTTATTTGACAGAAAGAGAGAGAAAGAGAAAGACAGCACAAGCAGGGGGAACAACAGACTGAGGGAGAGGGAGAAGCACGCTTTCTGCCGAGCAAGGAGCCTGATGCAGGGCCCGATTCCAGGACCCTGGGATCATAACTTGAGCCGAAGGCAGACATTCAACCAACTGAGCCGCCCAGGCGCCCCTTACGTACACTGTCTGTGTAAGCATTTATCATGCTGGATTCCAGCCATCTGGTTTAATGTCTGTCCAGCCCTTCGACCAGGCTCTGCCAACGGACGGACAGCACCTTTGATCTCTGTAACCTCTGCAGCTACCACAGAGCTGGCCTCAGAGCAGGGAGGGGGATCCGTTGCACCGAGGGGCCCCCAAGACGGACGACCCAACATACCTTCAAATATGGCAAAGAGAGGGAAGAGCCCCAGAAACATGAGTGGCTGCAGGTGGAACATGGTGTCAATGGGGTTCTGGAGCCCTGCGGGATGAGGATGGGCGTAAGTCGTCAGGCCCGGCCTGGCCTGCCTCCACCCTGCCTGGGGCCCACGGCCCGCTCTCACCGAGTTCCGCCTTCTGCAGGAGCATCTGGGTGAGGGTCCAGCGGATGCCACCGATGAAAGAGGCCCCCAGCACCAAGGCAAAGCCCTCCACGTTGAATTGTGTGGACTTGTAGGTGAACATGAAGAGGCCTCCGGCGATGAGGAGGACCACCAGGACCAGGGCCGCACGCTAGCAGGGTGGGGAGCAGCGGCCACTGACTGCAGGGTCCTGAGTTTCTCAACTCTGGAGCCTGGGCCCAGGGGCTATGCTGGCTGATCTGGGGCAAGAAACCCTTCTCCCCCGTGACCTCTGGGGTCCCAGCCAGCACCCTCCCATCCATGTAGGCAGGAGTGACATTCCCTGGACATGTACCCAGCATCCCTACTTAAACTTCCGGAGTAATTTCCTACAGCTGTTCTAGGCCCCCAGGAGGTCCCACCATACTCTGGCCCTGGCAAATAAGGGGCAACTGCCTCCAGGACCCGCCTGCGCCTGACCCCTATCCTTGAACCCTTTCTCTTTTTGTCACTCTTTTGGTCATTATACCTGCCATGCCAGCTGCTAAGTATTCTCAGCAGTGGCCTGTCCTAGGTCCTTCCTCAGTGACAGGAGTTATTGCCAGCTGGGCTGGCGTCTCCTCTGTCACATACAGTTGACAAGGCACTGCTCAGACACCCCTTTTAGTCTTAGCATCTGTGGAGGTAGGAGGGACCAGGGGAGCTGGGGCCTCACCAGCTCCTCCAGCTTGAAGATCAGGGAGAAGATCAAGATGAAGAGGACGGCGGAAGACTTGGTCATGGTGTACCTGCGAGGACAAATTACCCACGATGCACTGCCAGGGCCCAGGGCCCAGAGCTGCTACCAGGACAGGAGCCCACGGACTGTGCTGGAAAGGTGGGAGGCTGTGGGGACCCCTGACTTCCCTGAGGGCAACTGGCTCTGCTCAGGGCAGCTGAGCAATCTGAGTACAAAAGACCGAAGGCCTGAGTCATCCGGCTGATACGTAACCTTTCATTGGCAGCAATCTCTGACGAAGGGGCCTCTGACTGTCGCCAGAGAGAAGAGGCTCCAGGTCAACCCTGAGCTCACCACGTCCTCTTACTTACCTGCTCCTCTGTGGGGACTGGGATCAGGAAGGAGGAAAAGAGAAGGCGGGACTGTGCACCCTGAACTACAAGGTCAGCGATGAGAAACAGCTGTTACACCTGCCCCTCTGTGGGGGTCAGTGCCCTTCCTCCCCAGCATGACCGGCACCGCTCTGAGCGCCTGGCACCCCACAGCCACCGGGCATGCAGGCACAGCAACCCTCGGAGCCCATCGACTGCTGGGAGGGCTGCTGGCTACCAGCGCAGAGCTGAGCAGGGGCTGCTCCTGGGGGTGGTGGCATAGCCAGCCCACAGGCCCCACAGGCCAGGGTAGGGGGTGTGGACAGGGTCAGACAGGGCGCCTGAGCCTGGCGCTGGGGGCAGGGGGCTGGGAGGGCGTGCTGGGACTCACAGCGAGACGGTGATGTAGAGGAAGCTCCAGTTGGACAAGCCCACGTCAAGCGCCGTTGCCAGTGCTGTGGAGACACGGGCGCCCACCGGACATGTAGCCAGGGCGGGCCGGCAAGGGCAAGACAGTTGTTAGACACTTCCACAGCGCCCCCAAGTGCCCCCTGCTCTGCCCTGAACACCCTGGCTTTCTCTGGGGCCCTTGCACCTTCCTTTCACAGCAACTGAAGGCTTAACTCCTGGCCAAAAAGAGGGAGGGGTGCTACCCCAGCAGTAGGGCTGATGGGCAGGGCAGGGCGGGGCCTGCTAAGTACTGTGACTGTCCCCAGAGGAAGGGTATTAATCCCTCACGTCTTGTCATCCCTTCTGCGCAACTGGTCAGAGCAGCTTCTCCTCCATCCGGTGGAAGGCACACTCCTCATGGAGGACCTGGCCCTCCAGGATCTGTCCCTGCCACCCTCTCTTGCCTCCCACTTCTCACCAGCACGGCAGTTCCCAGCATCCCAAGACGCCTTCGGTCCCCCTAAAGACCCGCACAGGCACTAAACCCTCGGCCATTTCAGCCCATGCTCCGGGAAGCCCTCCCCACCTGGGCCTGGGTTCGTTCCCCTCCTCTGTGCTCCGAGGGGCCCCTCATCGTCCCACGAGCAAGGTGAGGGCTGGTGTGGGCTTGGAGCGCCTGGTCAAGGCCAGTTCTGCATCCGGGGCTTTTCCCGGTGTGTGTGAGCATGCGTGTGGTGTGTATGTGTAGGGGGGCCTGCGGAGGACATGAGAGGCAGAAGTAGGGCTGGGGGGAGGGAGGCTGAGAGGAGTGAAGGGGGTGGGTGGAGAGGGCCTTCTCTCCATGCCACCAAGGCTCTGTTTGTTCTCAGCCCACAGCTTTCCAAACGACACTGCCCCCAGCCTCCATGCACCCAGGACCGCCCCAGGGCCACGAACCTGTGGGAGCCACTCTCCTGAGGTAGTCTGTCCAGCTCAGCACTACGCGGGCCCTGTGGCTGGAGCACTGAACCAGGGCCCTGGACAGGGCAGAGAACAGGAAGATCACGGCCAGGTGCAGCATCGTCATGAAGAGTGGGAAGTGGAAGCTCTAGGAGCCCAAAGCACAGACAGCCCGGCATGGTTTACAGCCCCCCTCCCCACTCGGCCAGGCCAGCAGCAGTGGCGCCGGCCGTGGGGTTCACTAGGGCTCTACAGCGGCCAAAGGGCTTCTCCCCCCCGCCCATCAGCAATCACTTGGGATGAGACTCATAGTTCCAATACTGGAGATCATGCTGAGAGCCAGTGGCAGACCAGGGGTCCACCGTGCCCCGGTGCTGTCTCCACCACTTCCCGGGGCTCATCAGCCTCCCGCTCCAGCCCCCGGGTCACAGCCAGCGCTGGCCAGTGCAGCTGGACCCTGAAGTCCTTCTCTACCAGTTGATAACCAGTTGCTGCCTTCATCCCAAGTGACCCTAGCTCCTCCTTGGTGTCTCCCCCTTTCCCAATTTCCCTTCGACCCACCCATCTGAGGGGAACCCCTGGCGTGGCAGGGCTCTAGGGCCCCGTCCCATCACGAGGGTGACTGCCTTCCAGTCTCATCAGCTGAAGCCCGTGCCAGCCTGTGCTAACTATTCGGCGACGCTGGGGCCCTGGCTGCAGCCCCCTCCCAGCCGGCCCCCTGTGCTGCGAGGCCTCCCATTACCTTCGTCAGCCACTTGTTGTAGAAGGTGATGCCGATGGAGAAGCAGTAGTAGAGGAGGACCAGCCCCAGAGTCAAGAGCGCTTTCCACACAAAGGCCACGTCGAGGCCCCACCGCCCCATCCGGGGAAGCTGCAGCTCCCAGGCTCCGGGCTGGGGGGGGCAGGCGCCCCTCTGGAACACCGCGGCGGGAAGAGCTGGCTGAGCTGGGCCGCGACTGTCAACAAGGGCTCCTGGCTGGAGGCGTCCTCTTCACCTCCATGATTCAGAATCATCTGCGGAGCCGCAGGCAGAGGCCTCATCCGAGGGGCTGGTGGCCTGAGCCAACGCTTTCCATGACTGAGTGGCCTCAGGGCTCACGTGTCCCCAGGTTGGAGGCTAGAGGAATGGACAGGAAGCTCGGGTGGCTGGGCAGAGCGAGGGTCCACCCCACCCCTGCCTGCAGGGAGGGGGCCAAAGTGGACCCAGCAGGGGCCAGGAAGGAGTGCGGGCCCAGCGTGGGCTCACAGAGCTCTAGTCGCTTTCACTCTGTTGCCTCAAGCTGTTCCATGAATTGCCGCCAAAGTGACCTTTTAAAAACGTAAATCTGATCATGTCAGATCAGATGTCAGCCCTACAGTGCTCCCCGTGCTCCTCTGATAAAAGACCGAAAGCCTTCTTGTCAGCTCCGCCATCCTGACCCGTCCCCCCGCTGGTCTCTCCAGCCTCGGCTCCGGGCTCTCCGTGCCCATCCCACCGGCTGCCTGGGCACCCCCAGACACACAGGCTCTCTCCTCCCGCCCGAAGGAAGGGATGCGCCGCCCACTCCCCATTTCCTCTCAGCTGATGCGGCTCAACTTCAGCTCTACGGTTGTCTCCTCAGGGACTACCCCACCTCGATGGGCTGCTCCCAGGCTCCCCACCTTCCCTGCAGTGGACATGCGCAGGGCAGGCTGCTCTGAGTGGTGTCTGTCCCCTGGGAGGCTGAGCCCCAGGAAGACGGGAGCACGGTGCTCCTGGCAGTCTTGCGCTCACTGGGCACACTGAGTTGGCCATCTGGGTCTATGACTCAGTGCAAGGGAGGGGCACTTGGTTTTCAGGGAACTGATCTGATCTTTAAGGCATTAAAAATGGACCAGGAAACCAATACCTCCCCTTCCCTTAGGCTCTAAGGACTGCTCCCCCAGAGGCGGGGCCTGCTTTACTGTCTTGCCTAACTAAACCGCTCCCGGCCCATCCATCTAGGCAGCCCTAATTAGGGTCTAGAGCACACAGGCTCTGAGACCAGGCTGACCCAGGTGCACAGTTATCCCACCTGCCACTTCACGTGTTTGTCCCTTCCGTCTCCGTCTCCTCCTCTGTGACGTAAGCAACCTGTTGTGATGCCACCTCCTGGAAGCCTTCCGAGAACCATCTGACCAGGCATACCCTACTTTCCCCATCCCCAGTCCTTTCTGAAGGGAGTCTTTCATCCAGCTCTGTACACTGGAAGCTGGGTTATCACTGCCCTTCCCAGAGGCAAACTGGGAGCTAGCATAAGGTTTTGTTGGAGGGATATGGTAGGGCTACGATTCTCTTGAGGGGAATTTTGGAAACCTGTGGGGGTGGTTTTAGGGGAACTCTCCTAGCTTTTAGTGATATGGGGGGGGGTCTAAGAGAGTGACAGTCCACAAAACTGAGAATTGCACCACATCCTTTGTAACTTTGATAATCCACGTAGATATAAGACTTACTTATAATTACCTGAACCCTGGACCCAATTTTTTTTTTTTTTTAAGTAGATTCTGTCCCCAGCATGGGGCTCGAACTCACAAGCCTGAGACCAAGAGTAGTGTGTTCTACGGACTGAGCCAGCCAGGCGCCCCAAGAACCCAGCTGTTTTACCTGATGAAGTTTTTCCATGGTTCTATCGTGCACTGCAATTTCCAAGAGTATGTCTGCCATGGACATGTTTTTCATAGAACTGGTTTTGAGAATGAGTTTGGAGAAACCACACCATCTGCAGCAGTGGCCCAGCAGCACGGCTGTGGTGCTTGCACCGTGGCTAGCGCGAACCCTGTGGCCCCGCAGGTGGGGGAAGCATGGGCTGCTTCACTGTGGCTTCTAGCATCCTTACCTTTCCCTATACCTGGGTTTTTCAATCTTGGCATTATTGATACTCGGGGCCAGATCATTCTTTGTGCGTCATGGGATGTCTAGGAGCGACCTGATCTCTACCTACTAGAGATGCCCCTCCTCCTAATCCCAAGTTGGGACAAACAAAAATGTCCCCAGACATGGCCAAATGTCATGGGGGGCAAAAGCGCTCCCTGCTAAGAATGACTACCTACACCACAGAGGCAACCACAGGGCCTTCCACCTGCCAGCACCTGATCCCCGTGGTTCCCACCCAAGGCAGGGCAGTCTGTACTTTTCTGTGAGTCAACTCGTCACATACTCTCCCTTTGGTGCAGTTTCTGCTCCAACATGGCAATCTGTGCCAATCCCCCCCCACCAAAACCTCCCGTTCAAATCCCACCCTTCCTTCAGTCAGTCCAGGTCCCCTACCTCCAGAAAGTCCCTCTGATTACCTCAGCCTACAGGGAGCACTGTCTCCAAATTAACAACACTCGTTCTACTGTCACCTAACCCGAAACACAAAATCAGACCTCAGCTAGAAGGGCTCTTGGAAATCATCTAGCCATTTACTCAATGGCCATTTATTAAGCACCACTGTATACCTAGCATGGGAAATAGAGATATGTAACTGATACAGTCCCCACCCTACTTTTATGGTAAGGGAAACCAGGCTTAAAGAGGCAAATGCTCTTTTTCAAATCCCAATTAACAAGAAATGAATTCCATATTCTGCATTAGTTTCCCCAGAGGGCAGCCTAGCTGGGAGCAGCAGCCACATCAGGATGGAGTTGGTGCATAGCCTCCCATAGCACCTGGCCCCCCTCAATCTCCGTGACTGTAACATGGGCAGTGCTATTTAGTGCTACAAGTGTGAGCTTGGGATGAGAAAGACCTGGGATCCATTCCTGGCTCCTGTATGAACATGGGGACTCTTGCATGTCCTGAACTCTTGACCTCATCATCTGCCTCTTGGGAGGCGAGTCAGTGGCATCTGGTACAGTGCCTGATGGTGGCCTGTGGCAGGGTTTATGCCCTTCCTGGCCCCCTTACAGCAGAACTCCCCCAGGGTCCTCAGCACTACCATCCCTACTCATTTGCAGCCCAAACTCACTTCAGCCGGCCCCACTGCTCCACTGAGTCCCTACACCTTCCCCTTTGTTCCCCTCTGAGGACCAAGTCTCTGTTTTCATCAGCACCTTACAAAACTGACCACTTCCTTCTACTGGTAAAGCCTCCTGGATGCCACACCACACTCTCCTGCTGTTTCTTCTGCTTTTCTGGACTCCTGGCCTTCTTCAATGGCTCCTCTTTGTCAACCAACCTGTAAAAAGTTGACCCCCTGAGGGATGGTCCCTGGCTTTTCTTCATTTTCCCTTGAGTAATCTCATCCCATCTGAGAGACATTCCAGTGATTTCTAAATTCTTTCCATTAGCCCCACCCTTTTCTGCCAGCTCCTGGCTGAACCTCCAAGAGTCTACCTGGTAGCTCCACCCAAGATACCTCAAACAGAAGGTACCCCCAACCTATTCCAAAGTCATTAGTAAATGCCAGCACAATACACCCGGTTACTTAAGCCTAAGCCCCCAAATGAATGATGAACTCATCCCTGACCACTCTTTCCTTCCTTCCTCCAATCCTATCCTAGGTCAGTTCCTTCTCACAGATCCCCTGTGGACCAGCTGCCTGTCTTCACCTGCTCCAGGCCATCGTCTAAGCCATGGTGATCTCACCTCGGGGCTGCAGTGGTCTCCTAACTGGTGTCCCTGCTTCCTCTTTCCCCGACAGCCCGGAGTCCACACAGCAGCAGGAGAGAAGGCTCACGCGCCCGAAAGCAGACCACGCCCTCCTAGGGCGAATCCCAACACCTGAGCGGGCCCGAGAGGAGGGCCTTCCACCATCTAGCCTCTGCCCGTGTCTGCAACCTTGTTCTCCCGCCACTGCCCCGGAGCCCGCCACGCTGGCCCCTGGCCGTTTGCCAGGGCCATCGAGCCTGCGTCCTTCTTTGCACCGGCCGTTCCCTCTTCCGCGGACCTTTGCTCGGCTGCACCCTCCTCGAGGGCCCGCTCCTCGTCCTCTTGGCACCTCCTACCACCTGACGATGCCCAGTTTGCCCACGTGTCTTACTGCGCGCCCCGCACTCCCACCCCACCGCGGGATGCGGCCTCTCCGCCGCCCGGGCCGCGTCCGCGCAGTTCCGCCCGGCTCAGCACCCGGCCCGTCGCCGCGCGCGCAGGCAGCGCCGAGGAAGCGCGCGCGGCAGGGGGCTGGGGAGGGCGAGTGGAGGCCCCGGCCCCTCCACAGCGCGGACACGAAGGCCCGAGAGGGACAGGAGCCCGGGCGGGCCCCGGCGCGCAGAGCCCGGCCGGGACCCCACTTTCCCGCCCGGCCGGGACCCCACTTTCCCGCCCGGGCTGGCCCTCCCCCGACCGCGGGAGCGCGCGCAAATCCCGCGGCGCGCCCACTCACCTCGGTCGCGGGCGCGCCGGGCCGGATCCTCCCGCCGGAAGTGCGAGGCCGAGCGCCGCCGCGGGTGGGGGCACTTCCGCCCGAAGACGCCGAGGGGCGGGGCAGGGCGGGGCGGGGCTACAGAGGTTGGCCCGCCCGCACCGTTCTCGGAGACCCTGTGCCGCTTCTCGTGCGGTCTTTGCTTGGGTCACCCGCGCTCCATCCGCCACGCTCTGGCGCCCAGTGCGTGTTGCGGAGGCATGCGCACCCGGGGCAGCCGGAAAATAGCTACATGTTTACTTCTATTGAACAGATTAATTTACCTTATTCCAACCTACTGCTGGACAACCATGGAACCATAAAGATAAAAACTCTCATGGCCTTTCTCTACTGAGATCTTAAGCCAGCTGGGGAATGATAAGTCAGGGACATTAAATTTTAGAAGATCCATGAGAGATAAATAATACACATTTGTGAAAGATTTTGTGTGCCTGAAACTTTCTAAGAATTAATTTCAGTAGGTTGAATGGGGGAGTTGGGGGAGTGTCCGGGCAGAGGAAATGAGAAGGAAAGACTGGGGCCTGGCTTAAAGCCCAGTTGTAAGGGGAGTTAGCGAGAGCTGTGGTTGGAAAAGTAGCTATGGGGCAGGTTGCAGTGGTCTCAAATTCAGATCTCATTCCTCTTGCAGGATTAAAAGAGACAGAGCCTGGCACATGAGCCCCCAGGAGGGCAGAGCTGGCTAGGGTTGCAGGAGGCCATTAGGGTTTTTCTTGCCCTCTCTTCCCCGGGCCTCCTGTGCTCTCTTCTAACACTGGCTGCAAACGTGGATCCTTGCAAGTGACTCAGCTGGGCTCCCTGGCCACTCTCAACAGAAAGTTCGAGCCCAGAGTGTAAGCAGTGCCTTAAGCAAACCACTGCTGCCTCCACCCCCGCCCTCTGGCGTCTTGCCGGCATTAGTTCATTCATTCAGCACTTACCAAGCACCTACAAAGGCACCCATCACTGCCTGAGGTCTTGGCTGTCCTCAGTCCTCAAGGGCTGTACTGCCTGCACTTGCTATGCCTTTTGAAAGAGCTTGTCCTCACCCCCTTCTCTCTCAGAGGGAAAAGAAAGTATCTATTTTCATCACCACCCTCATTCAAGCCTCCCAGCTACCAAGGCTGAGTTTTGGAGCAAGAGCCTAAAACACCAGCTGGAAGGCTGGGCACTAAGCACCAGCGACACACAGGGTGAAGAACATGTCTTCTTTGTAAGTCACAAGAACGTGAGCTGTTCCCTGGCTGCGTCCCTGGCAGGGAGAAGAGGGAGGATACATTCACGGGGGTGTACAGTATGCCATTCCCTGCTGTGCCCAGCAAGCCGGAGCAGAAAACACTTTGTCCCGGTGCAACAGTCTGTGAGCATCCTTAACTGTCCAGGTGTGTGTGTGTGTGTGTGTGTGCGTACACACACCCACACACCCAGGGAGGGCAAAGTGGTTGAAAGGAGGAAGTCTCCTAGACACGATGAAATGAAGTCTTATCAAGGTGAAAGCTCCCTTGGGCAGAGAGTGAGTACAGAGAAACAGCTGTTAATAGGTACCACAGTTTGTACATGAAAGAGTATTTATTGAAAACATGGTTACTGGCAGGAAGCTCCTGGCTGCTCTCGGGTTACTCTCTTGGCTCACAACTGGAAGTGGAGGATATTTTTGTTTGTTTTTTTTAGAGGGAGCCTCCAATTTTATTTTCCTTCAAACATTCCGTCCTAGGATAGGTAGATCTTATATAAATATATATACACGTTTGTATAAGTATGGCCTCTAGTAAAGAAAATATATAGTACACTCTTCATCGGGCAGTACCTACCATGCCGGGCTACTACGATACTGATTGCCACTGTGTTCACATGTCCAAGGAGAGAGGCTGGGGGCGTGGTTGACATGTGCCGCAGCACCAGGGAAGCCCCGTTGGCACTGCTGTGGCCTCAGCTAGCTCCCTGAAATCATGGCCAATGGCAGAAACCACAGCACTGGGATGGGGGGAAGGGAAGGCCAAACTTCCTGAGGTCGGGGAGGCCAAAGGAAAGCAAAGAGGAGGGGGCTGCCATTCAGGTTAGGTGAGAGATTTCTCTCTAAGGAAGGAAAAGATAAAAATGTGGGAGGAGGGGGGGAGGGAGTGGACTCTAGTGGCCTCACCAGTTTCGCCCAGGCCTCGTCTGGGCTCTCCCTGCAGAGTTCTTTGAGACTAGAGGGGAGGACTTAGCTCGCACGTCTTTGACTTGCCAGGATGAGAGCCTGAGAGCTTGGTAGGGAGAACTTTCCATCCGCCCAGACAAGTGCATGGGCAAGAGAGATCTAGTGGCTCCGGAGACCAGAGATGTTAGAGCCGAGCCTCAGTGGCAGCAGCCTGTTGGCACTGAATGAGGCCGGAGTGAGCCCTCACGAAGGCGATGAAAGCAAGGGCAAGGCATCTACCAGGCAAAGGCCAAGGCCTCTGCTTGGATGTGAGACACAGGCACGGGTCACCCAAAGGCAGTCTCTCTGAGGCTCTCGATATGCCCAGAACGTCTGTCCTCCGCAGGCAGCCTTTGCTGGGCTCGCGCTTGCATACCCAGGGATCCAGCTGACTGGAGAGCAGACTCAGGAAGAAAAGGTGAGTGACTTGTTAACTCCAGCCCAAGCAGTCCCTGGCCTGGAAGGCAGGGGTGCCTGCTGTTCATTCCTCATGCTCTGATCCCAGGCTCCGCGGTGACAGGGAGGGCCGAGCACCCTGCCTTGGTGACTTGTGGCGGCGGGTGGGGACCAAGAGGAAGCTCTGGGTGGTCTGAGGGGAGTCTGAGGAATGGCTGGCATTTACTGGCCACCGTGGTCACTACAGATTCTGTACAAGCAAAAGACAAGGCACCAGTCTGTGGGTGTTTCTTCTGGGCCCCAAATCCCTTTCTGGGCACCGTGGAGTCTGGCTCCAGGCTCAGCCGTAGTGATAGACAAAGTCATAGCTGCTGGGCTCCTTGGGCACTGGCGGCGGGGCTTCGGGAATCTGGATGTTCTCCAGATCCAGGAGCCGCAGCTTCATCTCCATGCTCAGCAGGGTGTCCAGGTCGCTCTTGGTCAGCTCACTGGACATGTCCTTCCCCAGAAGGGCACTGAGGCCATCAATCCAGATGCAGTACTGTGGGAGCAAGTTGCAAAATGTCACATGGTGGCCCCGGTCAGCAAGAGGGCCTGCCAAGGTCCCTTTGCTGAGAGAACTCACCCTAAGTCTCTTTTGACACCACTGAGTAGAGGCAAAGCTGACTGGGGATAATGGCAAAGATAAAACGGGAGGTGACCATTCACTTTCCAAAAAAAGCCCCCCCCACCAAACAACCACCTTTGGGCTTTTATGAGGGATTTACATTTAAAGCTTCCTATGATAAGCTAAAATATGATTTTTTAAAAATATTTTTTGTTTACTTATTTGACAGAGAGATCACAAGTAGGCAGAGGGGCAGGTAGAGAGAGAGGGGTGTGGGCGGGAGCAGGCTCCCCGCTGAGCAAAGAGCCCAATGCAAGGCTTGATTCCAGGACCCTCAGGTCATGACCAGAGCCTAAGACAGAGGCCTAACCCACTGAGCCACCCAGGCGCCTTATTTTTATTATTTTTTTTAATCAGATTTTTTAAAATGCAACTAATAAATACAGCAAAACGACACCTGAGTACTGGGGTATCAACTACCCAAAACTGCCCCGGAAATGAGCAGTGGTGGGAGGGATACATACCAGGTGATAAAAGCAGGACCCAAGAGGAATCACTATGGGATCTCAATTTTGTTTCAGAAAAAGTTTTAAAAAAGAGAAGCCCAGCCAACAAATGTTAAAATAAGTGCTAGAGGATCTCATGATAAGGAGGAATAACAGAATTGTCGGCCTATCCCTGTCTCACTCCTGTTCGATCTTTTTCCCTGCCTTTGCTCACTTGTCTCCCCACCTGCTAGCTCCTCATTTCTTCCCAACAGACCTCCACTGGCGGCTCGGGGCCTGCGAAGCATCTCCTCTTCCAGAAGCCCCATTTCCAGTCCCCTCTGACGCTCCCCGAGCTCAGCAGCTACGTGGGACTCAAGCACAGTTACTCACGTGACCCGGAATAACCTCTAGGGCTGCAGGTACAACTGTGGGCCCCATGTCAGGAGGACCAGACCCAGCAGCCTCAGAGCCCAGGCCCGACCCTCTACTGCCTGTGCCCAGGAGCCCCGAGGAGGAAGCATCTGCCGGGTTCACTCAGGAAGGTGGCCGTGCTGGAGACTGAAAAGGGGGGAGCATTTTCCCAGTCCAGACAAGTTAGGCTACCCCGTGGTGAACCTGTTTTTCTAATGGCAACTTACGGCTGCTGCTGAAGAGTAACCTGGGGAGCCCAACTCAGGGGGGATGGACCCCAGTCTGGCAGATCCTCGGTGCCAGAAAGCCTTCGTGACACACTGTGGTCCCCTGCCTTTAGGGCGATGTCCCTGTCCTGCCCACTCCTGCCCTCTAGCTAAAGAGTCACAGTAGGGGCTCGGCTGTCCAAAGCAGTACCCCACTGCTCACCTCATACTTATTGGGTGCGATGAAGTTTAAGGTCTCATCAGGGTCATAGAGGATGGAGAACGCCAACTCCAACACCTCCTGAAAGAGAAAGGGTTTCAGTTCCGTGGAGCAGTGGGGTGGCCTGGGCTCTGCGCACCAAGAGTTTGGCCAAATTCTTGGTCACATGGCACCGTCACCAAAGGAGCTGGCTCAGATGTGGTATCATCAGGACCCTGGGCACGTGCACACGTGTGGCTGGAGACAAGGTGCGGCGTTAGCGAGCGTTAACTCACCTGTTCCCCACCCGAGTCATGACCAAGATGTGGACGCTCCTAACACTGGAAAAAAGTCGTTTCTCAACACTCAAAACCTTGTATCTCAGAGTCCGTGACTATAGATGACCTTCGGCTTGTATGTTGGTGATCAGACTGAAAGCCTTAACGGTTCAGGAACCATGACAACAGTAACAAATTGTGACCCAAGCTGAGAGAGTTTGGGCATCAACAACGTAACTGTAACGGGCTGGGACAAATAGCAGTTTGCTTAAATGCACGAGTTCGTGGTAATACTAAACGAAACAAAACACAACACATACCCAAATCGGTCACTGCTGGAGATACCACAGAACCAACTCACTATTCTGAAAGTACTTTTATAAAAGGAAAGAATCAAGCACTTGTTCTCCTTTCTTATATAAAATGGACCACTGGGAAGCCAAGAGTAGAGGATGGTAGGCTTCTGTTTAGATAAGCAGTTCAGCTCATAAATGAAAAGGAATGACCGCATTAGAACACCACCAGTTTGCAAATCTGAATTTACTTGTGGAAGAAACCCTTAGCACCAAGAGTCTGCCAACCTCGCAAAAACAGAGACGATCACATCGTGTGTCTCTTGATAGAACATAATGCCACCTAGGAAGTTGTCCTGCCCACCCCCCAAAAAGGGGGTCAACCCTGAGCTGGGATCCAGCCTCCCCTTAAATCTCTCCACCAACGTACAGATCTGGGACAGAGGAACAAGTTAAACTGTACCAGGGGAGACAATCAGCACATTTCAGACTCTGAGAAACTACCAAACAAGCAACCTGGTTTCGTCAACTAATAAACTGCAAAGAGGAAAACAAAGACGGAAAAGAGAGAGGGGAACTAAAAACTAATCACAATGTGCATATCCTGTTTGGATTCTGATTCAGTGAACAAAACGGGTATGAGTGAGTGTATGTGTGCATATGTTTACGCGTGTGTATACACATAAACATTTATATATTTTTATTTATATTTATTTATTTATTTAAAAGATGTTATTTATTTATTTGACAGAGATCACAAGCAGGCAGAGAGAGAGGAGGAAGCAGGCCTCCCGCTGAGCAGAGAGCCCGATGCGGGGCTCGATCCCAGGACCCTGCAATCATGACCTGAGCTGAAGGCAGAGGCTTAACCTACTGAGCCACCCAGGCGCCCCAACATTTATATATTTTTATACAGAGAAATTAAGTTATTTACAAGAATGCAAACGTCTATGGGATATTTGATATTAAATAACAACTTTTTAAATTTCTTTTTAGGTGTGGTAATGGTATTGGGATTATGTTAAGAGTCCTTATCATTTACAGATACACTGTAAATATTTAAGAGGAAATGATATCATACTTGAGATTTTCTTCGGAGTAATGATAAGTGGATGGGTAGGATGTGCCATGGTTGTTGAGGCTGGGTGATGTGTATGTGGGGCTTCTGTTTCTGGGTATGTTCAAAACTGTTCTTAGAAAGACCCACAGGAATAATTTAGAGAGAGAGAGGGAGTGGGGGCGGGAGAGCACACACTTGAACAGCGGCCACCACCGACTAAACCCTCCGGGCATCACCGTGACCGTGACCGTGACCGTGACCCCGGCAGACCTGCCCTCCACTCACCTTGTTCTGTTTCAGAGCACTCTTCTCTTTCATGTGGGGACAATCCTTCCCAGTGACAATGGCCTTAATGTCTGCAACAGGAACTGGGAAACGAAGGGAATTAGTCTCTGTAAGACTCATGCTGTGAGGGGGTCTTTGCATCGGTGCTGGGAGGGGAGCTCCAGCCCCCAGACCAAAGGTCTGTGTCAGCTCAGAGAGTAGCCTTGTGCTAGTTTCTCCTCCACAGTCCCTTCCTGGAGGCCTGGCCTGCTGGGCTGTGTCCAGTCTCACTGGGGGTCAATTCAGGGCTTTGGGATCATCTCCCCGAGGACCGGGGCCTCAGATGCTCACATCACTTCCACGGCACGGGGATGAAGGTGACGATGCTGTGAGTGCAAACAGCCAGCCCCCATCCTAAGGGCTTGACGTACATGACTCATTCAATTCTGACGAAGGAGATGGGCCTACTACTCCCATCTTTCACAAGAAACCAAGGCAGAGGTAAGAATTAACTTGCATTAATTAGAATAGCAGAGTGAGGGTTCGAATCCAGGCAGTCCGGCTCCAGAGCCCCCACTTGTACCACGGCCCTTCAAGACAGTGTTGCAGCCCCCCTGACAATCTACACCCCCATATCCGTCAGGGATCCCACTGACTTCCCCGAGCAGCCCCGTGGGGTAGGCCAGGTAGAGATGACCTCGGACAGACTGAGCAGACAGGTCCAGGGAGACAAGCCGTCCAAGACCAGATAATCGGCTTGAGAGCACCAGGACGGAAACTCAGGCCTCCTGACATCGAGTCCAGCTACTATGATACAGCAATGGAGAATGAACCTACTTTTTTCCTGCAGGGATTCAAACGTCACCTCCCCTTGCGGGTTGTCATCCAAGTCACCGTAGTGCAGGACCTTGTGGTTCAGGGCCAAGCGGCAGTACCAGAAACGTTCTGGAACACAAGGCCAGACAAGCAGGTGACCAGGGACAGTTCTGGGAAAGGCCTGGGCACACGAAGGGCAAAAGGATGACATGTTCCCAGGCTGCTCCCCGCACGGCTCTGTCCGGCAGGGTCCCTCCCCAGTGGGGTGACTCGGACCAGCCTAGTGGCCCAGGCGCCCTCACCTTGCCTCCTGCGGTTCCCGATCTTCCGGAAGCTGCTGCCCTCACAGAGCCGGTTCAGCCGCTGCTGCTTGATCAGCTCCAGGATCTCAGGCTGGATCTTCTCCCTCAGCTCCCTGGGTGGACACGTACGGGAGCAAAGGGGAGGTGAGGACACGGCAGGGCTGGCGGTGCCGTCCCCCCGCCCACACGCGGCACTTACACGATTGGCGGGGACTGGAAGTCATCCTGACTCATCCGCTCGGACTGGCGCAACCGCAGGATCTCAGAGTAGCTCAAGCTACGCAGTTTGCTCTTGAACTGATCCAAAGAGCTGGGTTTGGAGGGCAAAGCTCGAGTGATCTGCTCTCGAACCACCTGCATGACCTGAGCGGGAGGGAAGGAAGCCGGCTGCCTCAGCGCCTCTGCGGACAAGCCAGGCCAGTTCCAGGCAGCCCGGCCCTGCCCTGGCCTTGAAGGGACCCCAAACACCTGCTGGGTGAGCGAGAGTACAGACTCTCAAAGGCACACTTCTTAGGTGGTTCTCGAGGACAAATGCCTGATAGGGACAGGTGCTTTCTTTCCCACGAATTTCAACTAGTCGGCAGTGTGGTGGAATGAGCACGGGTTCGGGAGTTGGAGAGAAAGGCGCTCAGATCCTGACCCCATCTCTTAATCTGTGCCTTGAGCAAGCCACTCGCCATGTGCAGACCTTCCTCGGCTCGTCTCTGGAGCAAGAGACAGGAAGACTCGTTTTCGGATAAACGCTGCCTGCAGGATGGGGAGGTGCTATGTGGGTGCACAGTGCCTGACGCGCGGGAGTGGGTTCAAGAGACGTGCTACTTCCTCTCAAACAACAGTGAAAGAGAAAACGGGCCATCCCACGGCCTGTCCGGCAGCTCTGCGCCCACGCAAGGCAAAGTCTACAGGAGAAAAGACTAGAGGGAGACGTGAGATCATCACTGGGTGGTGGAACTACAGAGAACTTTCTCCTCTTTATACTTGGCAAATTGTTTACAATGAGATGCATGGCTTTTAGACTGTCAGCTTCTGAGGGCCCTGCAGTGCCCTGCAAAGCGTGGGGACGTGGGTGCGCTGGGAATGACTACCGAGCGGATAGCCAGGATGTGCCTATCCTGCCAGCCCCCTCCTCTCCCTCGTGTTGCCCAGTCCCGGGACCACACCGGGGCCTGACACAGTAAAGCGCTCGGTCAGCCAGCACCCTTATGGTAAGGCTCAGCCTCCTGCCCTCTCCGGGAGACAGGCGGCCATGGTGGGTACTGGCTCTGCTGGGTCCGCGACAGGCCCAGGGCACCGAGGGGCAGACCCCAGCTCCAGGCTACGGGGGAAGCACAGGCAGAGGGGCCCCAGGTTCTCCAGGGCTGCACCTCGTGACCCAGCACAGCTGACCACACTGGTTTCCCAGCTCAGAGGCTCCCCAGGCTCGAGCCAGTGGCCCCACACTGTCACGTGACAGCCGTGCCCATGGGCGTCAGAGCTTGGAGACACGCACCTTGTTGAAGTCCTCGGCTGTCGCCCTCATCTCCTTCCAGGTCTTGTTCAGCAGCTGGATGCAGATCCCGAAGAGCTCCTCGAAGGCGCGGTCGTGGGTGAAGAACATCGGGTGGTAGTCGTTGCGGCCCTCATTGGCTGCGGAGCAGGAGAAGCAGGGCGGGTGAGGCGGGGCGCTCACGGGCACCCACGTCCCGAGGAAAAGAAGCAGAGCAAAGCTAGGGCGCGTGAAAAGCGTGGGGCGGGCCCGCCTCTACTTCCTTAGCTTTCTTCTGCCGGCCTAGCTCTGCCCCTGCCCTCTCTCCGGCCCGTGTCTCCTGACTCACGGGGGCAAACCGGTGGAGGCACGGCTCCTGAACACGTCAAATGACCCGCTCGAACCAAGCAGCAGCCAGGAGTCCCATGCACAAGGATGAGACGGCTCACCAAGCACAGCAGTCGCCCAGTCCCACTGACCCCCACCTTTGTAACCTCGAGTCCCCCAGGCTCCTGATTATGGAGCGGCTGAAGGAAGAGGCGGGTGTCGGGGACTTACGCAGTTCCCCAACCTGCAGGATTTCACAGAGCATTTTGGTGAGCTCGATGGCGCTGCGGCCGAAGGGGCACTCGTGTTTGTCCTCCCGGCTGCTGTTCTCCAGGACGATCTGTGGGGGCGGGCGGCGGCAGGGGGTTAGGAAGGCAAGAGATGTGGCCGCAGGGTGGAGCCCACTGTCCCTGAGCCGTTACCCGGATGTAGGTGTCCTGATGGACTTTCGCCAAGTACAGCATGTTGTCCAAGGCCAGCATTCCAGGAGGAGTCTGGGTAAAGTCCATCGCTGGGTTGATATGGTTCTGGGGAAATATAGGAACTGGATTTGAGACTCAGTAGCCACCTGTGTGCAGTGCCACCTGAGGGGATGGCCTACTGCCCTCTCCGTGCCACTGGCTCTCGTGTTACCTCCTCCCTGCTCGCCGTCTCTGAGACTGGGAGCTCCTGACTCCGGATGGTGCTGACTCACTCTGTCACCCAGCGCCCCGCATACTGTACGCTGAGTGGGTAGGTGCACACTCAGTGTTCAACCGAATTAACACCATCCTCCAGTGTGTCCTCTCACAAGATGCCCACTTCTGCTTTTCAAATCACCTCGCCCTTTCGGGAGAGGTCCTCTCTTTACCCACGTGACTGACCTCCTGGGCCCTCCAACATATGGATTTGTTCCACAGGGCCAAATGCTACAGGGAAATGTGTGACCTCCCAGCACCAAGGCCAACCAGGTGGCAGGGCCCCTCCAGCTTCTTAGTGTCCTCTATTCCAGGACCACCACGATACAAGGGGGGGTTCTCGGGGCTCTGTGTGAGTGTGTCCTCTGACTTCCTGTCAGGGTAGCAGGCCTTCCAAGATCCGTACTTTGGGGAACTTACAGTAAATCCCAGCATTTTGTAGTCCTTCGTATACATGGCTTTGCGCTTCTCAGTCCCACTCCCGGGGACACTGGTAGCGTCAGACTCGGCATCGAATGCAATTCTTCTCAGTTCAAATATAATGTCCCTTTGAGCCTGAGAAGTGAAACAGCCAGCCAGGGGGCAAATCAGCTAGCCCAGGGAGGCAAGGAAAAGAGTGAGCATGTTGGGCTTTCCTGGGCGGGACGCTGGGCCCGATCAGTCTCCAAGAAGGCATCACCCCCGCCTTCCTAGGACAGAGGTGGGCTTGGCCCAGAGAGTCATGCAGCGGGAAGAGACGGCAGACAGGCAGAGCCGGGTTTCCCAGGGCAACACAGACCCTTTCTGCAGACACAATCAGGCATGCTCTCTGGCGCACAGCGGGTGCCCTGTGTGCAGCCTAATGGTGGAATGTACCACATCAAACGGCAAAGGACTTAAGCCAGGAGCCGTCTGTCCCACTGAGCACCTACCTGGTCATTGGGGTCCATCTTGGTCATCATCCTTTCTTCCAGAAGGTTAAAGGTCAGGACTTGCAGGACGTACAGCTGATGGGCCATCTCGGTTTTGATTGGGCGGTTTCCTCGAATCACATGCTGGAAAAAGCAAAGGCAGGGGGCAGAGGGCTGAGCGGGTTTTCTTCTGCTGAAGACTTACATCCATGCTGGTAAAAAAGAAATTATGCTGGGCAGGGAACAAGGGTTTCCCTCCCACACACTGAACTTGGGAGGCTTCATGTTCTAGAAGGGATAGAGCATGAAAGGGCTCAATTCAGGCTGAGATGATTCACTGCAGGCCCCAAGGGCACAGTCCCTTTCTCCACACTCCCCTTGGGCAGGGGAAGTGGAACCAAGGGAGGGGCTATGTCCAGTCACACCGAAGATGAGGAAGGCTACCCGCTATGATTAGGATCCCGGGCTCAGTGCTAGACCTTCCTCCAGGTGGGCACTCAATCCAAGACATCGGACAGTGTGTGAGGAGGACTCCGCTCTGTCCTCCCTTAGAAAAATACAATGTCGTGGATGGCCTCACCAAGTACAGGATTTAGAAAAGGCCATTTTCTTGAAATGGTGTAGAGACACTCAATGGAGGGTACTTAATGCTCCCTGTCCAGCCCCCAATGCTCCCCCACCACGGTCTCTATCACTCTGCATGTGCTCCCCTCCCTGCGTCCCCTACGTTCTATCCCACCCCCCTCTTGCATGCCCCCCACCACGCCCTCTCAGTTCTCATCTCCATCCCTCTGATGCCCACTCCACTTCAGGCTCCCTCCTTCCCTCATGCCTCACCTCTGTCTTTTTCCCACACACTACTTCTCCGTGTCCCTTGGGTTGATCAACGTCTGGGGATATTCTTGCCTCCTACTGTTCTGCTCTCACTCCCACAATGGCTGCACTTCCTGGCTTGTTCCCTTGTATTTTTCTTTTTTTTAAAGATTATTTATTTATTTATTTGACAGAGATCACAGGTAGGCAGAGAAGTAGGCAGAGAGAGGAGGAAGCAGGCTCCCTGCTGAGCAGAGAGCCCGATTCAGGGCTGGATCCCAGGACCCTGGGATCATGACCTGAGCAGAAGGCAGAGGCTTTAACCCACTGAGCCACCCAGGCGCCCCTCCCTTGTACTTCTTGCTTTTTCTCTGTCTTGCCCTCCATCTTGAATCATTCTTGGTCTCTTCTCACCCAAATGAGACTCTTGCCCACTTTTCCACACACACTCCCTCCGTGTCCTTCATGTTCTCTCACTCAGTCAACTCTATGCCTCCGGAGCTGTGCTATCTGATATGGTGGCCATTCGGCATATGTTAGAACTCATTGAAGTTAAAAATTGAGGTCTTTGGTCACACTAGCTACATTTTAAGCTCAACAGGTATATGTGGCCAGTGGCTCCCACCCAATGATAGAGTAGATATAAAACATTTCCACTGTCACAGAAAGTTCTACCAGACAGCCCCGCTCTACAGCTCCGTAATGCTAGAGTTTGCTCTGGCTCGAGATCAATGTCTTTAGACCTGCGCAGCCCGACTGGGCAGCCATCAGCCACAGGGGGCTGTCGAACACTGAAACGTGGCTGGTCCAAACTGAGATGTGCTGCAAATGTCAAATGTGCGCCAGATCTCGGAGCCTTAGCGTGAAACAAAGAAAATGTAAAATATGTCATGACCCATTTTCCCCTATTGACTACGCACTGAAATGACAGTATATGGGATAGAGTGAGTTAAAGTAAATGTATCATTGAAACTGGTTTCCCGGATTCCTTTTTTACTGTTGCTACTCTAACATTTAAAATGAAGAACGTGGCTCACGCTGTATTTCCACTTGCCAGTGCTGTTCTAGCCCTCCTCGCCCCGACATCTGACTCGAGAGCGTTCTTCATTTCTGTAGATCTGAACAGCTTAATGGCAGCCACGAGCCACATGTGGGTATTTTAACTGAAATATTAAAAAATTACAAACGTAGCTCCCCCGTCACACTACAGCCCTGCGTGGCCAGCGGGCACCATGCTGGACAACACCTCCATACTGCAGAAGGTTCCAAGGACAGTGCTGCTCCTAACTGCTCACCAGTGGGAGCTTAGGCCCTCCTCCTCCTCCTCCTCCTCCTCCTCGTGGCAGCTGTCTGAGGCTCTCTGCTCCATGCAGGTGCTGGTCTCTAGCCCAGACTGACTTGCTCTGCTCCTCCTCCCCCTACCTTAGCAAGTTACCCCACCCCCAGCCTCTCACTCCAGGGTCTCCTCAGCGCCCCCCCACACCTCCTTTTCCCTCCCTCTGAGCCTTCCTCCCCTCTTCTCCATAATTCATTGAACCACTTTGAGAAGAGGTTAAAGTTAATGTGATATGGTTTTCGTTCACCTGAATCCCGCTTTCTCAAACTTAAGAGATGTCACAGCCAGGAGGTAATCACTCTGCCAACAACGGCTTCTAGGAGCACAGCCCGTCCGAGAGAAGTCATCGTTCCAGAGCTTTCACCTCAAGTCTTATTTGACTGCTGAGTAATTCAAGGCCTACACTCCTTGGCCTGATGTGAACTCCTAGGGCTTCAGTGAGCAAACATTAACCATTTCGTAGCAGACTATTTAAGTCATGAGTCCTGACCCTGAATTGTCTTCTATGGTAGAATCTTGGCTTGTTCCCAGTTCTGTCCAGAAATGAGCTGAACTAATCCCACTGAGGTACATATTAAGCCTCGAAGTTCATTACATTTCCCTCAGAAGGGTACCCTCCCTCCCATGCATGCAGAGCATGGCGCCTAAGAGGGCTGCTCAGGAATCTGGACAGGCACCTGCGGGACCTCTGCACTCCCCATCCCTCACGGGAGATGGCCGGGGCGTCTGCCCATGGTCCTCCCGCCCACAGCCCTTCCGCCTGGCTGGTGGTGGGGCTCTGACCAGGGAAACGGCCAGCGGGCAGGAGCTGGTTCCGCAAGCTGAAGAGGTGGGCTGTGTGTGTTCAAGGCAGCCTGTCGCTTGGCTTTGCAAGTGCCCAGAGCTCACTTCTTGAATGCTATCACCTCTGTCTCCCGTTCAGAGTAAGAGGCCTGCTGATGTGAGCGGGGTGCTTACCAAGGGCCAGGCACCCCGCTAAGCTCTGTATACATAAGAGGTTGGTCAGGCCTCACATCCAGATGAGCAAATCAAAGCAAATCGAAGTTAAGTGAATTGCTCAAGATCAAAGATTGGTTAACGGCAGAGTGGAGGCTGGGCACTCTGAAGTCCGTGCTCAGAATTCTCAAGCTTTCACACCTGACTTCTCATTTCTCATTTGATTCCTTTCACTGGGGCCTCCTGGTTTTCCCTTGGTTTTGACAAATGATAAAATAGCCTCCCTTTCACCCAGATCCCCAGCTCTCTTCCCCAGCTCTCACCCTTCCCCTCCCTCCCACCCCAGCCAGCTCTCTCCCACCCACAGCCCCGCGTGGGGACAGGGAGTCAGCCCCCTTCCCAGATGCCTCCCTCCTCGACACCTCTCCCTCTACTTTCCTCCCTCATACACCCCCAGGAAACACACACACCTGCTAGTGGGAGGTTTCTAAATGCCAGCCTGGTTATGTCACCAGCCCGATGACATCCCCACCACTGCGCCTGGGAGAGAGACTAAGGCCCTACCTGACCTGGTCTTCGCTGCTCTCCGGCCTCCAGCCCCTGCGCACGTCTGCTCCTTGAGCCACCCTCTGTATGGTCACACACTCCTTCTAGGTCTGCTGTGGGAGCCTCCGCCTCACCAGCCATCCTTCCTCTAGAGGTTTCCTGACAGCAGCCCCTCCTCCTGAAATCCTCCCCCAACCCTGAAGCTCGATGGAACCACAGACCCCACGGTGCTCTGGCGCCATCCCATGGGACTGGAAGATCTTTGAGAGCAAACACACCGTCTGCTCATGCCCCCACGCAACTCAGTTCTGATCACTGTTAGCGGAACGGATTACTTTCCTCTTTGGGGCCAATTTTAACACGTTCCTTCTGGATAAAAACTGCTGGAGCTGCAGGGCCACAAATAGACAACTGGCTGGCCTCTGTACCTCCTCAGACACCCGGCAATTCCTGGCGGGACGGCCTCCTAGAGACAGCTCCATTTACAGAGGATTACAGGAAAAAGCTTCCTGCTTAACAAGGGTTTATTAGCACCTATCTATCCACTCAACAGTAATCTCAGTAATAACAATACAACCACAGTAATAGTAACTGTTGCTATCACCAGTAACAAATAACAAAACACAGCTTGCTCTGGGAACTTACGTTCAGGATTATGGACCGAAGGTGCTTCTGTGCAAAGGCATTGGCCATATCCTGTTGAGAAAAACAAGCCAATGTAAGGCAAGGTGGCAGGCCCCCAGCTGTGACAACTGTCAAGTGAAAAGTGGAATCGTGGCTCTCCGGGGCTTTTTCTCTAAAATTTTTTCTCCTTTCAAATAAAAAGTGGGCAAATGGAAAAAAAAAAAAACCATGGACCATCAAACATATTCTATACTCTGAAAACCTCCCACACGCTTTTTTTCTGGGAGGGCAAACTGACTCAAATAGGATGTTCCCTCCCCTGTGGCACAGTCAACCACACCATCTTCCACGGGGAACAGAGACCGCTTCAAGACGAGACACTCGAGTCACAAGGACACCGGGCAATAGGCAATGGACAATGCGTATGGAGCACAGAGCAGCGAGATGAGTCCCATGCACCGTTCCAGACAGACACCCACCCCCAAGGCTGGAAGGGCCTCTTCCAACCGGCAGACAGGGCTGGGGCCCCAGCGCCCCCTCTGGGCCCCCCCAGCACCACTCGGGCTGGCGGGGCTGGGGCACAGGGGCTCCTGCCACAGTAAGTAGCCGTGATTCACTTCTGACCGGTTTGGAGAACAGCACATTAGTGCTTTGGGGTAATTTCTCATAATAAGGGGCATCATTTTTACTGTATTTCTTTCAGATTCTGTCAGTAATGCTTTATTTATTTGGCACACACGGGAAATAAAGGATCCCGCATAAAGCAGCCTTCCAGGGAGCCAAGCTTCCAGGGTTCTTTTAGGACCTTGTTTTGGCTGTTCTTACACAAATTCTGTAAAAATGGATGATACAGACACTTCGTGATTTTTGAAGGGACGACAAGGATTACAACCTCAGCTGCCGAGGGCTCGGCTTCACCAGAAGAGCGGGGCCTCAGACACGTGGACGGCCCGAGGAGCTCCAAAATGTGTGGTTTTTTTCCCTCAACAAAATGGTCCCAAAGGTTCCTGTGCTTTTAATCTTTGTGACAGCTTTTCATAATTCTTCTGTCTCCTCCTTCCAATCGCGGCCATTGCTTCTTACCACGTTAATTAGTAAGACTTCACTTTCTAAACGGCTGCCTTAATTTAATTTTATGGGTAATTCTAAATCAATGGGCCTGAGGGAGCTGTCACACCTCTCCCACAGAGCAGTATCTGTGAGCACACTCATTTTTCTCAGAGCTAAAAGGCCTTTCCCTCTCCCTTCTACGTCTCTACTTATATCCCAAATGGCTGACACTGCCAGGAACATTAAGTTTTACTTTGCATCCCCTGAGCACACACGCTGGCTGGCAGAGGAGGAAGGTGGCCTAGAAACTTCTTTGGTAGCCACAGGAGGTCGGCTTGAGATTAAACCTTGCTGTGGACAACTCATAAAGTGGGTAATTGACATTGGCCTACTGCTAGAATGTGACGGCCTTAGACCAGAAGCTTCTCTGGGGTGCTGGGGGAAGCGCTCATCTTCCTTCATAGCCTCGTAAAGCCAACCTCTAAAGCTCCCTCTAAGGAACAAGCATGCAAATTCCCTCCTGACAACTGTCTAAACTTCTTCACATTCCGATGGCCCAATATGCACCCAAAGCAACACGGATTTGTCTTTACTCTCCGCCATACCAAGCTGGAAGGTGATGCATCCGTGGTACCAGCTGGGTGAAAGTCTCAGGCTGTTTCAGAATCTGACCTCCCCTGGCTGAACCATGACCTTATGTAAAGGCAGGTTACAAAGGAAAGACTGGGCAGCATCCCCTGGGGGAGGCACACCCTTAATCCTGCATGTAACACTAGTCTCCAGCACATTCCCTGAGTGTTCTGACCAATGACTTTTACAGCACACAACCTTTTCCTGGGTCTTGGAGTTCCGTGAACCCCTCGATGAGAACAAGAGGGTCTCGCCCAGCTCTGACCTCCCCACCTGGAAGAGAGCTGGGGCCCTTTCCAGATGGCGGCGCTACTTACAGTGACAGGCAGGTCTAGAGGGTTAAGGTGCTTGTCCTGCCGGCAGAAAGCAAAAAGCACAGAGAGAAGCAGATGGAAGAATGAGCTTTCAGCTTACATTCAAAACAGGACTAGGAAGGGAGAGATTAACAGAACAAAGCCATTCAAGAAAAGACAGGGACACACAGAACCATAGATGCTCCTGGTCCTCCCATGGGAAGCCACCAAAAGCTCGGTTCATGATCCCACCTGAATCTCAACTTCCAGAGACCATGCTATGGCCAGAGAATTTAACAGTCTTTCTTCTGTATGCCACTTGGGCTTTTTTTTTTTTTTTAGCCAGAGATATCTGGAGTGTCAGAGTTGGAAGAGCCCTTAGAGATCATTTAATCTGGCCTTTTCATTTATAGAAAGAGAAATAGAGACCCGAGAGGTTAAAACACCTGCCCAGGCCGGAAATGCACTCAGCCTCTGGGCCCCGGGCTCAGGTCAGTGCTTGCTCCCCGGCCCAGCCAATCCTTGGTTTCCTCACTCATAAAACAGGGAGCTTGTTTTTCCTCATGACGCCCCTGGGAAGTACACAGGGCACAGTCTGCTGCTCCCCTATCACAGGGGAGGACCCTGGGCCTCTGAGCAGCAGAGCTCAGCGCATCACGTTGCACGGCTAACGGGCCGGGGAAGAAAGCAGCTTCGAATCTGAGCCTGAGGGTCTTTACACATGAAACTTCATGCCAAGATCTCATTTGTCCCGGTTTCCTTGGACTGGATGGTGATGCCTAGAGGGCCTCCTCTCCCTTCTCGATCCTCTAGCCTCGGTCTGCAATGAAGACCACCCTGGGCTTGTTGTATATGAGGTCTTCTTGGAAGACAGCCACCCTGGCTTGTTTACGGAGGCTCTTTGGGCTATAAGGACAAAGTCGGCTGCCACACAGGCCATAAGCTCACAGAGCAAAAAATATTGACTCTCAGGCCCTTCGGAGGAAAAAGTCTGCAGGCCCTGCTCTGACCTGAGACCTGGGCCTCACTTAGCAAGGCTGCTCGGAGGGCCCCTGCCACAGAGGGAGGGGAGGAAGGGCTCTTGGGGAAATGGCTGCGTGTCTGCTGTCTGCACAACGAAGGGCAGATGGGAGACAATTCTTCTCCTGGAAGAGCCCAGATGAAAAGCTTGAAAAGGCAGCCACAGACCTGTCGCTTGTCCTCAGGAGCCTTCAGGAAAAGCGCGTTAATCAGTGCAATGGCGTAGGTCTGAATCTCCTGGTTGGAGCTGTGCCAGTGGAGAAAGAAGGCAGAGGGAGATTAGAAGACTGACCAGCGAGAGGACACGCGGGTGCATTTGCAATGGTCGCTCAGAAGGTAATCGAATAATCATCCAGGGTGATATCTCAAAAGCCTTAAAAATGGGCATACTCTGCAACCCGGCAACTCTACTAATAGCAATTTGTCCAAAGACGGTAATCAGAGAGCTGTGCAAGATGTACTGGCAAAGCATTTCATTCGAGTACTGTCAAAAAAAAGAAAGAAAGAAAGAACAGTAAATAATTCAAATGCCCACAATCGTAACTCTGTTGATCACATTACAGGACGAAGTTGTCACTGAAAATCACGTTGTAGAGTAAAGGTTCTTCACCCGGGGTTCAGGATGGGTTTGGAGTGTCTGTAAACCCGAGAAATGGTGCAGAAATCATTCCACGCAGTTGGTTGACTGTGTTATTTTCTCCAAGAAAGTGAGAGTCTATAACTGTTACTGGATTTTCAAAGGCATATGGGATGCAAAAAAGATGCAGAACTACCCTTTTAGAAGAATCTTTCACATGGGGAAATGTTCAAGGGCTATTACTCTGTAAAAAAGTCAAGGTACACAGTGTATACAGAGTAAGCTCTCAGTTCCGTTAAAAATATACAAGGAGAAAACGGCTAGCAGGGCGAGTCAGTTTTCTGTGAACAGTGGTTCTGTCTGGAGGTGGGGAAGTGGGCGTAGGATTTACTCTTTGTGCTTTTCTGTATTTTCAGAGTCTTCAACTACAAACTTACTTCATTTTAAAACAGACTTGCTAGAACTGTTCTCTGGAATCTTATAATCCTGGCCCTTGGCAAGATGTTTCCACCTGCCACGCTAGGGGTACACTCGGGGCAGGGGTGGGGCTCTCTTTTTAGACAGGCCGGCAGACCTCCGGGTCGGGTGCGGGGCATCTTGGAGGTCTCATGGAAGGAACTCGGTGTCCCAGTCCGAACAGCAGAGAACATAATGTCTAGTAACAGCTACAGGCTGAAAATAGTCATGGACCGAACCCTAAAAAATGCCATGCTCCTCTATTACCCTTGGGGAACACAACTGGGTCATTCCTGATTCAGAAACTAAGAAACTGAGGAGTAAGTCTGACGTCAGGAAAATCGCAACTCTCCGTCTGGAGTTTATGATGTTCCCTTCACTTCAACAACATTTTTGGCTTGGGGGTATGAAAACAGAGGCTGAAGAATTCCTTAGAAGTGACCAGGAAGATATCCAAACTGCAAATGGTGCTTTCTTTTTACTTGGATTATTTGTGGGGTGGAGGATACAGGCTGGGAGCAGAGCTGAGTCAGGACAGGGCTGCTATAAACAGGCAATACTGGGAACTAACAGGGCATTCTGTTAGCATCTGCCCATGTCCAAAATGCTAAAAGGGAACAAGAGTCAGAAAGGAGTCAATGCTGTCACCATGTTGTTTGGGGGAGTCCAGCCCCCTTAAATTGTTTAGAGGGGTTAAAGTGAAGTGAAAGAAATGGAGAGGAGAGGAACAGTGTTCCAAAGGGTTCATCTGTCTTCTGGTTTTAAAACATTTTAGGATGTGATAAACTCTTAGGTTTTTTTTTTTTAATTTACTTTTATTCATATTTATTTATCCATTTTTAAGTAGATTCCACACTGCATGTGGAGCCCAATGCACGGCTTGAACCCACGACCCTGAGCGCAAGGCCTGAGCTGAGATCAAGAGTCAGAGGCTTAACCGACTGAGTCACCCAGGTACCCTTGTGTTAAACTCCTTAGAAAACAAACAAAAGCAAACAACTCCTGAATTGAATACCTAACCTGTGCTGGCCATCAGGCAAGATCTTTTATCTCCTTTGATCCTCACAAGTCCGAATGGTGGGGAGGACTAACCCCAGTCTAGAGAGGAGGAAACCGAGACCAGGCAAGACCAGGTAACTTGTTGCAGGCAGAGACCTGGTCAGTGTGTAGGAAAGCCGGGATCTGACTGGTAGCCTGGACTCATGCTCAGTGTGATATTTTTTGCTACCCCCCATGGCATACCATTCGTTTGCTAAATGTTCATTCCACAAACACTAACTGACTTCTATTAAATCAAAGCAGGGGATCCAAAAAGAATTGGTCCTTCTTCCCAGAGAGTTCAAAATTTAAAGTGGGAGACAGGTAACAAAAATAAAGGATTTTATATCATTATCATAGGTAAAGAGAGACTATTTGGCCCAGAGAGGAGAGAGAGCATCTGATTCTGTCAGGCGCGCGGTGGGACAGGAAGGCTGGGAGCACTTGGCTTCATCCTGAGGGACGAGGAGCACCACGGAGGGTTTTAGCAGGAGCGTGACGTGATCAGGCCCAATGCCAGGAGCGTCCTGACAGCAGTGTGGAAGTGCTGACGCTGAGCGAACGGGCAGACTGGCAGCTTGGAACACAAGCAACGGAGGAGGGCAGGGAGATGGCCAGAGGATGAGAGGCGAGAGGGGAGGCTGGGGCAGGATCTCTTACTCACACCTGGAGGTGAGAGATGAGCTGTCCCACGGTGATTTCCTCCGCGATCTTCTGGTACAGACTCTGGCTATTCAAGACCATGCTCTCCAGGATGGCCAGGGACCTCTGAAGGATGGACACGTCCACCATGGGCCGGCTCACGTACCCTGCAATCTACAGTCGGCGAGGGCCGGGTCAGTCAGGAAGCCTGGGGCTCAAAGTCTTGTAATCTAATAACTCCCCATTATTCTCAACCCCCATTATAATGTTCCCGATACATGGTCCTTTCACTTTTGCCTAAATATCTCCAGCATCAGGAAGTTCCCAGTGTCCCAAGCCAATGGCAGATGTGACTCTAGGTCAGTGGATACATGACTCGTTGGTTTTAGTCCAGTTTTGAGAACGGACACCACCCCTTCCTGCAGAAGAAAGGAGGGCCGAAGTAGAAGTATCCCCTCCCACCTGCTGAGCTGGATCTGACAATCCAAACAGGCTGCTTTGCAGTTCTGTCCATAGAAGGCAGACTCAGAAATCTAAGGCAAACAAAATGAACATGTAGAACCAAAGAGAAGGGAGTGCTCAGGAAGCAGGTCAGAAGACTCAAGGCTGCTCCTGGTGGCCCGGCTGGTGTCATCCCAAGTCTCACTGACAATCCCATCCCACTTTGGTCACATTCAGTTCTGAGAGCCCGTTCCCATCTTCTCAGAGCAGGCCTGAGAGAATAGTGAAGGAACTGTCTCAGGAGCTCTAGGAAGACCTGAGCGTGAGGATGAAAAATTGGGCCTTGGGGACAGAAAGCTGACCCTCAGCAGAATGGCTGTGCTGCCTGCACCTGTCCCTAAACTGACAGGACAACCAGCCACAGAGGGAGGAGAGGACGATGGAATGCTGGAGGCCTCACCTGCTTAATGAAGGTGATGGAAACCATGTCCCAGGAGACAATGCCGTGGTCCATGAGCTCTAAGAAGGCAGTCAAGGTGAATGCCAGCATCTCACTATAGCTGGGACAGAAGCAAACACACACAAAAATCACACAAAGATTCGGAGCCAGGGAACACAGGTGTGACAGCAGCCACAATGGAGATGGATTTTAGCGTAAGTGTCAGGGACGGTCAGCACAGCCGTGAGTAGGCACCTGCGTGCACACCTGGCCAGGTGTGCAGCAGACTCTGTCCAGGCATCTGTCTCTGGGAAAAAAGAGCTGCTGGAGGACTGGCTTTCCTTCCCTATACCCCCTCACAGTGAGCACAATCACTCCTCTGTTTCCCAAAGCCAAAAAAAAGTATCAGACCTTTATCAACCCCAATACTTGGCAGGGGCACCCAAAGGAGCTCACAGCCCACGTCCAACACCAAGAGGCAGCAGAGTGCAGATACTAACTTCAGACATGGGCTCGATTCCTGTTCAACTATTTACTAACTGTGCAAATTTTATCCTTTTAAACTTCAAATTCCTCCTTGGTAAAACTGAGTCAATCTCACAGCGTTCAGATCATAATGGGCAAGGTGACAATGTGTGCAAACCCCTGGCTGCAATGCTGATAGCGTTCCAAAGCCTTCTCTCCTGTGTCCCCCTCTTTCTACACACCACCCTTTACACAGCTGTATAGTGCTCTAGATTCAACAAACCCTATTCCCATTGGCAAGGCAGGTTCGGACCCGTTAACAACAATCTTTGTGACAGTATTACAATGTAAGCAGCACCCCCATTTTAAAGAGGAGGAAACCAAGGCCAGTCCAGTCCTGTACCCCCTCCACCCCAACCCCGCAGAGACAGCTGAAGTCTCTGAGGGCCACTGAAAGCTTCAGGATGTCCACGCTGCTGCAAAATCTGAGACTTAAAAGGAACACCCAAGATTAGGTGCTTGGTTTGGCTGAAAATTTCAAGAGCTGGTCCATCAGCTAAAAAGATTTCCGACGCCCTCTGTGTGCCAGCTGAGAGGGACAGAAAGCCAGCACAGGCCTAGACGGCTAACTAAACGTGTTCACTCATGGCTGGCCACGGGCACAGAGCGCCACTACACTCATCTCGGCACTGGAGTATGACAGAGATGTCTGTGGCCTATTTTAAAGTTCTGGAGCTCGTTTTCCCTGTGAAAATGGGTGGTAGGGAGAAGGCCTGCGTGTGTGTGTGCTTGCGTGTGTGTGTGGGGGGGTAGCGGGGAGATGACTGGAAAGGGAGGGAGCAGGGGTGGAGATTAAGAACAGACAGATGCCTGTTCTGGTCAATTCTGAACGGTCTCCTCATTAGCCATTTTCCATGAATTAACAGATCTGTCATGACCTACCTTCTCTCTTCCTGACTTCTGTACCCCCTGATTTCACTACCGCTTGGATCTGTGAAGACCACCTAGAGCACGAGATTCAGGACCACAACAAGCAAATCCCTCCGTGCAGAGCCCAGTACTTGGCACACGGCTCTGTACACAGAAGGTGCTCAATAAATTCAAGTGACTCCGTGGAGATGGGAAAAGGATGCCCCGCGGACTGAAGTCAGTCTCTGAAACCCCCCAAGAAGAGCTCAGTCATACTCACTGGGACAAGAGCTTGGTTCCGCTTTCCACAAGCCGTGTCAGCACAATGATGCCATCCATGTTGATGAACTCAGTGGCAAAGGTCACATCAGCAGAGAGCTTGGCCAGCTCCTTCATGGCATCCAGCCGGGTCTCCATGTTGGACGACTGGGTCCTCTCCATCAGCTGGCGTGCAGCCCGGGACTATGAGACCAGGGACAAGATGTATGCCTTCTGCTCCTTGCAGCAGGTAACTGCTCTGTGAGTAGCTCATAAAGGCTTTTCTGTGGACAGCCAAGCCTGAGGCAGAACTAGTTGTTCACGCTGTCTAGGAGTTGCTTAATAAAGGCTTATTGGATCAATCAGGGAATTACCAGTATGCCAAGACCAATCCGGACCTATGTAGATCCTTTCTGTAGCACTCTGGTCTATGGATTACAGAAACTTCCCACTGAAGGACTACAAAAGAGACCAGGGAGAAGATAGTCTACCACCTCTGGCAAGTCTCAGGGACACAGATATTGGCTCAACAGAGGGGAGTTTTCTATTAATGTAAGCCATCAGACAGCAGACCAGGTTGTCCCTTGATGTAATGAGCTCTCAGTCACTAAAAGCAATCAAGGAGAATCTCGACAACCAGCTGTCAAAGATGCTACACAAGAGATTCTTGCATTGGGTGGAGGACTTAATCTGATGACCAGCTTTAAAGTCCCTTTCAATCTCAAAATGTGATAAGCCTGACAAGTTTGTTTGTTTGTTTTTAAACTTTCTCTGAAAGCCTGTATCGTTGTCCCTCAAACTGACAGTCCTGGGGAAATTTTAAGAATACTGCAGGGCTGGAAGCTTTCAAAATAGCTTTTTCAAAATGATGGCTAGTGACGAAGCCTTCTCCCAGCACATGAACTTTCCCCAGAAAAATGCTTGCTTCCTTGCTGCAAGCTCTAGCCACAAGCCTTCCCGAGCGTCTGCTGGCCCTTCCTCCTGCTGGACTTCCTAGCTTTACAGTCAGGGCCCCCGCAAGTGACGGACCTGCAATTTGTCACTCTCTATTTTTTGTGTGTTAATTAATATTCTCAGCTGGAATGGAAGAGCCTTGAGAGCAAAATGTTTCCGCGGTCTTTATTTTTTCTTACAGAGCTCAGCAAGTGACTGCAGCCCGGTTCCTGCTGCTGACCGAGGAGTCAGGTCTGGTCACCTCTCTCTGCCCTCTGCCTCTCCTCTTTTATTATCACAGAGATGGGCCTACGGCGGCCGCGCCCCTAGATGACACAGAAATCCTCCAGACTCCCGGGGTGGAGAATACGCACACCGCGAGAAAAGGTCACCGGATAGAACCATTTGAAGAGCACTGGTCTGCATCACACTTGGAAACTTCCAACTCCAAATGTTAATTTTCCTCCTGAGACAGCATTTCTGGGCTGCCGCCTTCTGCTCTGGAGAGATGTACTCCTGGGAAAGTCAACTGCTCAGCGCAGGAGGTCTGGAAAATGCTCCAGCACGTCCACGAGAGCAACTCCCAGATGGTTATATTAAGCTAGCAGAGCTGATTGGCCGGTGGGGGGTGGGGAGTGGGAGTCAGCAGGGGGTGGGTGGGTGGGTGGGTGGGTAATGAAGTCCTTAGGGTGAGAAAGTTCCGGAGAAGGGGGAAAGCAGGACTCACTGGTGAGAATACGGGCCAGGAGTCAGACAGCCCCGGGTTCGAGAGGCAGTTCAGCCATGTTTTTATCGTGTGACAAGTGGCTAGTCACGTAACCTGAGTCTCAGTTTGCTCATCTGCAAAACGGGGCTATCACGAGTACCCACCTCTGCGGGTATCTGTCAAGATAAGAGGATATGCTGCATGCGAAGCGCTCGCTGGGCGTTCTGGAACTATTAGCCGTTACTACTGTGCACCACCCTGCTGCTCAGAGGGACTGGTCTCTTGCCTCGCCAAGAAAACAGGTGCCATCACAGCCTTAATTTTCTGGCAGCCCTTCTATACCTAAGTGACACGCCCATATTGGTCATCCTCCTTAGGAGACCAAGCGGTCAAAAATCCCTCCACCCGGGCTTTGGGTTCCCCCTGTCCTGACCCAGTGAGGTCCTGTTCCATTAATCACCCCCTTTCCTGCACCATCAACCTTCCTCTCTTTCATCTTAACTTCTTTTCAAAGACACAAAAGAAACTGCAACAGAAGTTAGCAGCTCTGAAGGGTCAGAGGAGGTGGGGAACTGGGTAGATGAGGCATGGGAGTGGGAGGGAGACCTTCCACTTTATCTTTGTCAAACTTTTTGATTTTTGTAACCCAGGAATGTTTTACCTCTGTTTAAAAAGCATTATCTTTTTGGCTCCACATCCTCGAGTTCCTGCCTTCTGCTGTCTACTTCCTTTTATAACCAAGCTTCCTGATAGTGCGGTGAAGTCGGGGACCTCACTTTGCCACCGCTGTAGCCCGGCTGTCACTCCCCACCAGACTGTCTTGACAGAGGTCACCCGGGACCATGGACTTCCTGGGTCAGTGAACAACGTTTCTGCTCTCAGTCGACTCGATCTCTGCTTGCTGCAGGCCGCGCCTTCCTCTAACTTGACAGTCCCTGCCCACTCCCTCTCGGGTCTCCTGGTTTTCTCTCTGCCTTTCTAGTTGCTTTCTTAGTTACCCTTCAGGAGCTCTGGCAGGAATCAGGGAGTCGCCTCCTTCCACGTCCAGGACATCAGCCCATCCCCGGGTTTACCTCTAAATACCTCTCATGCCTGTCCCTCATCTCCACTGTCACTTGCCTTTGCTTCATGGGCTGTTAACATTCCTCATTAGCTTCTTAAAGATTCCTCCTACCACCAACCTTCTTTTTTTAGCCCATCTTCCACACTGTCACTACAGTGATCTTCCTAAAATACAAATCTAAACATAATGTACCTTCCTGCTTAAAATCTTTCAATGTCCCCACATTCCCTTCTGAATCAAGTCCAAACCCATGAGTGAGCCGTCCGGGGCCCTTCCAGGTCGGCCTCCCACTGGCTGCTATAGGCCCCGCCTCCCCCAACAAAGCCCGTCTCTCTGCTTGGGATACCCTTCATTTTCTTATTTCTCTGGCTAATTCTTGCTTATCCTTCAACATCTGCGCTAAGCGTGCCTTCCTCTGGGAAGGTTTTCTGGGAATCCTCAGGCTGAACCAGGCAGCCCCTTCTCTGAGTCCCCATAGCTCCCTAAGCAACCTTCTGTCAAAATGCTTGAGAGAGGACTTTGTTTGTTTACTCTTAACAAGGTTGTGAGAGCACAGACTGACTTATTTTAAGTCATCTCTATATCCAACGTAGGGCTCGAACCCACAACCCCGAAATCAAGAGTTGGATGCTCCACCGACCGAGCCAGCCAGGTGCTCCTCAAAGACTGACTTTTAAAGCTCTGTAGTCTTGGTTTCTAGAAGGGAGTCTGGCCCATGGTGGGTGCTCCTATGTGTGTTAAATAAATGTACTCCTGAGGAGAACCAGATACTTACCGGGGAGATGGCCAGCTGTAAGATGGTTCCATTCTTAATGTCACTGCGCGTCTGGGTAACAAAGAGGAAAAAGAGTAACTAAGATACAGTATTAGACCCGAGCAAGCCGGCTGACTCAATTTTACAGTAGTTGTAACAGAACCTCTTCGGTCGGGCCTCCTTCTGCGTGTGTCTTCCCCGAGAACTTCTCAGAACCCCTCCATGTGCCCCGGGCCCTCAGGAGGGAGAAGCCTCAGTTTTCCAGCCACCAGAGGAGGCAGGGCTGGTGTGCCCCAATCTGCCCGGGAGGCAGCCCCTCCCTGGGACACAGAAGCTGCCCCCCTGTCAGCAAGGCTCCCGCGCCGACTGCGCTCCCGCACGCACCTGCTCGGTGATGTAGAGCTGGGGGCCATCTGCATATCGGAGGGTGTAATACTCCGGGTTTGGCAGCGACCACCTGTGTGAGAAACCACAGTACAGCCACCCGGGCCTTCCGCAGGCCCAGCTAAAAGCGGCAGATGCATTAATCATTTCCAGCAGAATCGCCTCAGGCTTTGGGCAGCCTGCCTGGAGGAGTGGGGAGACCCAAAGCTACGGGCTGAGATGCTGACCAAAAACAAGTGGCTCAGGCTTGGGTACCAACTGGCGCCATCCATGGGGGTCCACATGACTCAGCACGAGCCTCACAGCCCACCAGCGCCTCAGACAGCCTCCCTGGGCTCACAGGAAAAAGAAGGATTTCTACGAGGTCATAGGGACATCCTCCTCTGCTACACCTCCTTTGTAAGACAACGATCCACAAAAGTTCCACCCCCAGGGTCCAGGTAACTGGAGACTCCTCACAGCGGGGCGGTGTTCCTGCAGTTGTTAGCCTCCCCTTGTCCAGAACAAGGACACTTTCTACTCACCCATCACAAACTTCCTTGATAATGGATGCCAGGGGCCGTTTCTGAAAGACAGCGAGAGAGAGAGAGAGAGAGAGAGAGAGAGAGAGAGAGAGAGAGAGATCCTTCACCAGCAATCCATGCTATTCCCACCAAGGTTCTGACGAGGGGCCCGAGTGGGGACTGCCTCCCCGATAGCTTCTGTTGGAGAGAAAACCTCTCTCCCAAGCCACAGGACCGACCCTCCATGGAGTGGGACAGACCTTGACCTTCCCGTTGCTGGCTCTTACTCCTGATGCCAAAAGCCCACATCCCTGAAGACAACCCTGCCATGCACTTCTCTGACAACCCCCCGCCACCCCGCATTACTGCTTCTGTCCTCCTTTCAGGAGCTCACCTGGTCGATTTCAAGGAGCTGAGCGTTAGCACCTGGCCACTCAATGGCTACTTTGACAATGTCTGATGGGGGCGGCATTGTTCGCAACAGGCCCTACTTCTCCAAGAAGCACACACCGACACAGCCGCCTGGAGACAAGGAATCAGAGAGAAGGAAAGAGTCAGAGCGTTTGCCTTTATTTTTCACTCATTAGATATTTTTGAGAATCAGAAGACAGTGTCCAAAGTAACATATGGAACTGCTTGGTTGGAATTTTTCGACATCACACCAGACCCTCTCCTTGGGCTTTTTGTCTCGTTTAGATTAAGTCAGCGAGTAGAAATGGGACAAACCCATCCATCAACTGCAGATCAGGCAGTAGCAAGGTCTGCCAACATGACACTTCGGTCTAAAAGGTCAGGAGGACTGTGTGGTAGAAGAATGAATTTACTGCAAATTCCTGTCTTGGGACGTTGGGAGGGAGAAGCATATGCTCTGAGACAGATAAGAATAGGCAGAGCCTTTTCTTGGTTGAGTGGTTGGCTGACGGAGCCTGCCCACTTCTGTTCTGCTCTCATCCGAGGAAGATCCCAGTGTCGGCAGGGCCCGGCCGCTTGCTCTCTCGCCTCCTGCCTAGTTACCGCTGCCACTCCTTCCCCCTCAAAGGACACAATGTGGAGCCTCCTCTGTGTGGGATGACGCAGAGTTCAGAAAATGGGGAAGAGAACTGGGACAGGAAATGCTATTTTAGTCCCTACTGCCAAGGGCAAGGGCTGCTGGAGCTCAAGTGTAGGGAGGTGAGGACAGCTCACACAAAGGCCCCTCTATAGGAGGATAAGGCTCCGAAAGTACCTCTGACCCCCTCCCCCATTTGTCTCCAAAATAAAGGAAAATAAATCATTTTGAACGGGTCTGGAAGATAGGCCCATGTGACCGGTCTCCTAGGCAACCTCGCTAGCTTAGTGGTATTCCAAGCAGCAGCCAAAGCATCCTCTCTCCAAGGTCTGATGAAGGCAAGTCACTCGACTGATGGAGTATTTCCATGTATATTTTACATTCCTTGCCGACAGGTTCAGGAGAGGCCTCTCTCTTAATGAAAAAGAACTTTCTCGGCATCTGCCAGGCTCAGCCGTTCACCTGCACATCAGGCTTCAATAATGGAGACCGCCTGGCTCTCCTGAACTCATGGCAGAGCCACTGCCAAGCTGGTGTTGGTGTGTGCTGCAGCTTTTAGGCCCAGACACAGATGTCCATTCTCACAGCCCTGTGAGCATAGGTCTGTCTGGTGAAAGGGGGGAAAGGCCCTTCCCCTCCACACCTGTGAGTCTCCAGGAGAGGGACGCTTCCATGACTGTTTCCTGGTCAGGTTGGGTTGTCCCAGAAGGCAAGTGTCAACAGTACTGGCATTGCCAGCACGTGACAATGCACAGATGGTTTTCCAAGCGCTTTCGCTGACTCCGCTGACTCCGCTGAGCCCTCCCGACAGCCCCAGGAAGTAGGCGGAATCAGACTGTTAGTTCTGAGACGACACAGCTGGAGCTCAGACGATGGTTAAAGGGCCCCAGTTCCACCAGCTAATAGGTAGGAAAGGGGACAGAACCTGGGGCTGACTTTGGCCGGTGCTCTTCCCTTCCCTGCTGAGCTAGCCTGAATTTCTGTTCGTTGGAACTAAATCAGGCCTAAAGGGCCCATAGGGGGCGGGCCTGGTGGTCCTCAAAGCTTCTGCCACGTCTGTGGCTCCAAGCAGAATTTCCCGTGTGTGATGTTCGTGTGCTTAGAAACACGATGAACCGTTCCCATTAGAACGCCTCCTGGCTGAAAGGCCACATGGCAAAGCAGGGGTGGGACCGTGACTCTGGATGCCTAGGGCAGGCATCCTCATCCTTACTGGTAAATGTGCCACAATTAGGAGGTATGACTGTACAGTTGTGAGATCATTTTTTAAAACGGAGATATAATTTACATACGAAACGCACAGAGCTCATGTACGTGTGTATATATAGAATAGAAATACACACATCTCTCTGTAACCACCACCCAAAACAGGACTTCGAACATTCTCATCACCCTAGAAAATTCCCTCCTACCTCCTTCCAGGCAATCCCCCACCTTCCAGCCCTCCAAGAGGCAACTCCTTTCTGACTTCTCTCGCCATACATGAGTGTGGCCTGTTTTTGCACTTTGTATACACGGAAGCACACAGGATGGCCTCTTAGACCATTTGTCATTTAGTTCTTCTCTTTGAAACAAGTAGGTGGTGCAGGTACGAGAGAAGGAGCTGGGATGACTGCCCTGCTGAAGAAGCAATTGGATTTGGATGCCATGGAGTCAGGACCCCGTCACAGTTCCATCCCTAGGTGTCCGGGTAATGTGGACGTGGCTCTTTCACCCAAGCCTCTACTGTGGGATGTGAGTGTTGAACTAAAGCACGCGTGGAGTGCCCCCTAAGTCTAAAAGTCCATGGTTCTAAAGTAGAACTTACAAATCCAAATGAAGATTGCCCACTTCAAAGTCCACACCCAAGGAAACCACGCCCTTATTTCCTGATGGTGCTGCTAAGAGACCCTATTTGTTAGAGCTCCTTTCTGAATACTGTCTTTGGAGACAACGAAGCTAAAGCTCATGACTTGGCCATTCCACATTACTCGGACCCAACTTGGCATTTCCCAGGTTGACTGTCTTTCTTTATTAAACCTCGCCCTGAGTGATTCGTGGCTGTTTCAAAAATTCATATCCATTTTAAAGCGTGGAGATTTGCAACTGCCAAGACTATTCGAGAGAGACTCCGAGCCCCCATTCTCAGTGATTCTGCCCTTTCTCACACAGGGCAGGCTGTCCATTTCAACTGAATGACACTCTCCCCAACCCTGCCCCAGCTGGTGGGACCTAGGTGAACATTGAACCTTAGCCGGATGAATCCAATTCTTTCTTTTAAATTTACAGACACAAGCTAAGGAAGCTGGATGCCAAGGGGCCCTGGGGCAGAAAGGTTATCATCAGCCTCCGAGCAGGTACCGTGGCAAGATAAAGCCACCAGCAAGCCAAAGATACCAAGAAGCAAAAACCAAGAGTCTTTTAGAGGAAGTTGTTCTGCGGAAGAATCCAGAGATGTGTAGATAAGTGGAGGCCAGAAACCAGAAACCACAAAGTCCCAAGAACAGAGGAAAAAGCCTGATGACTTCCCAGATCCCATGGCTCCAACTCCTACACTTGAGGTGCCTGAAATTCCCCTGGATCGTGCCCAAAAAGCCCTTCTTTAAATGGAACTAGCCTGCTTTTCTGTTCACTGCAACGAAAAGGCTTAAGACTAAGTTTGACCTCAGGCTTTGAAGGAACTCTGATATGGGGGCCTGCGTAAGCAGCAGCGTTAACAGGCAAAGGGTAATGACAGTGAGCAGGACCTTCCTTGACACCGGCTCAGTCTGGTGTGTTTAAAAACAGTTCCGTTAGGGCGCCTGGGTGGCTCAGTGAGTTAAAGCCTCTGCCTTCAGCTCAGGTCATGATCCCAGGGTCCTGGGATCGAGTCCCGCATCGGGCTCTCTGCTTGGCAGGGAACCTGCTTCCTCCTCTCTCTCTGCCCGCCTCTCTGCCTACCTGTGATCTCTGTCAAATAAATAAATAAAATCTTAAAAAAAACCAGTTATATAAGTGACTTCAGAGTAATCATGTTGTATATAATAGTAATGGGTAGACAGCCTCTTTACAGTTGATCACTCTTTTTTTTTTTTAAGATTTCATTTATGTATGTATGTATTTTACCGGGTTGGGTAGCACAGGGGGCAGAACAGAGAGAGGGACAAGCAGACTTCCCGCTGAGTGCAGAGCCCGGTGGGGGGCTCACACCTGAGCTGAAATCCAGTCAGTCGCTTTACCACAGGGCACCCAGGCGGCCCTGAGTGCTCACTTCTTTTATTTATTTATTTATTTATTTATTTATTTGACAGACAGAGATCACAAGTAGGCAGAGAGGCAGGCAGACAGAGAGGAGGAAGCAGGCTCCCTGCTGAGCAGAGAGCCCGATGTGGGGCTCGATCCCAGGACCCTGGGATCATGACCTGAGCCGAAGGCAGAGGCTTTAACCCACTGAGCCACCCAGGCACCCCGATCACTCACTTCTATGGCATTATTACAGGCAATGCTCAAGGAACCCTGAAAATTATCCCCACTGTACAGATGAGACAACTGAAGTTCAGATGGGTTGAGCTTGTCTGCCATAGGGCTCCTTCCCACATCTCCCCTCCCTCCAAAAAAAAGAAAGAAAGCAGATCAGAACGGATCTCAAGGCTGAGTCGTGTGACTTCAAAGTTAGTTCTTCTCCCGCTACGTAATACTTCTTTGATGCTGTATTACATAGTACTGGGGTCCTTTTCAAGGACTTTACATATATTGATTCATTTAATCCACACGGCAAACGTGCGTGGTACATTTTTGCGCCCATTTAACAGATGACACAACGCGAAGCACGGAGAAATTAAGGACCATGCTCAGTGTTACACAGATAATAATAATAACTAGATTCCGGGTAGTCTGGTGTTGTTTGAAAGCCACGTGAGCAGCGGGTGGAGCCGTCCGTGGCCCGCAGCAGGTGTCTGGAGGACTCTGGTTTGCCATACCTGAAGCTAAAGCATCCTGAAGGGAAGAAACCTGCATGACGAGAGCTCACTGGCCCGCAGGGAGTGGCTCCCCACTGTCTAGAGGACAGCCCCACTTCCTCATGGGCTACTCGGTTCTCCGTCTAGCCAGGTCTTCCCAGACTGCTTGCTGTTTCTGTGAGGCAGGCCACGTTCTTCCATTTCTTCTGTCCATCCACGTGTTCTCTTCCTTCCCTGGACTGTCAAAAGAGCTCCTATTTAAACATCAAAGTCCAGTTCAGATGTCACTGCCCCTCTGCCCTTCTGAGTGGTCCCCTTTCCCTAGCAAAGTGAAATAGGATGGGGCCACTGTGTTCTCACAGCACTCTGTTCTGACCTCTGTGAGGGCTCCTGTCCTCCTCCGTGACAGGTATTATTATTATTGTACACACTGTTATGATAGTGAAGTATTTGTGCATCTCTCTTCCTCACTAGCTCCTCCCCCAAGGAAGGTACACCCTGTCACCC